TCACTCACTCACTCACTCACTCACTCACTCCCTCACTCTCTCACCTTCTCACTCACTCACTCACTCACTCACTCACTCACTCACTCACTCAGTCACTGACTCACTGACTCACTGAGACACTGACTCACTGACTCACTGACTCACTGACTCACTGACGCAGGCACGCACGCAGGCACGCGCTCACTCACTCACTCACTCACTCTCACTCACCATCTGACTCACTCACTCACTCACTCACTCACTCACTCGCTCGCTCGCTCGCTCGCTCGCTCGCTCGCTCGCTCATTCACTCACTTCCCTACTCACTTACCCACTCACTTACTTACTCACATTCACTCTCAATCGAGTACTCACTCTCACACTCACGCTCACACTCACGCACACTCACAGGTACACACACTCTCACTCTCACCCTCACCCTCACTCTCACTCACACTCTCACTCACTCACTCCACTCAACTCAACTCAACTCAAGTCAAGTCAAGTGAGCTCAACTCAACTCAACTCACTCACTCAGTGAGTCAGCCAGTCAGTCGGTGAGCGAGCGAGTTCTCGGTTTTTTGGTTTGGGCGGTAAGTCATCAACTTGGCCGCGGGCCAATTGAAATGTAAACGCTGCGAATGTTTGATATATGACCCCGGAAAGCCTGCGGAGGTGGACCAAGCGAAGTCAAACGCACGGCGCAACAACCGTTGGCTCTGATGGTGACCTCTCTGGTAGTCTGTGATGGGATGACCCGTTCAAGTGAATGAGTTAATGAAGCCAGGTGTTTTGTGGGCCGAATGGTCCGCGTTCACAAGTGTATCAGCCCGACCCCTCTAAGTTTACGCTGCAACATCTCGCGTGTGCCAGGACCAAGTTTTGGAGATTTCTCGCCGCCTGTCCAAACAAGCTTGCGTGGGGCCAGTAGCATTCCTCTTGCTCTTGCATGCGTTCAAGCGCTGTCTTCTCCCTATTCTGAGGCAACATCTCCAGCTGCAACTTGATTATTGAGGACTGGCAGGGCCAATTCGGTCAAGTTTCGCAACATCATTGGCTTGGTTGACACCAACAGTTGCAGGTGCACGCGATGCACACCCGTGGCAGTTGGCAGATACGCCCTGCACACCTTGCTTGGCCAGGACTCCGCGCTTTGCAACGCTACAGAAAACTGCAGCTGGCGGCCGATGTTCGAGTCGGGGCGCTGCGTGTCTGCGGCGCCCGCAGAGTTCCTCTGGACAGTGTGCTGATGGGGAAAATCATGATAACTGCCCAAACTTTCTCGCACACCGTGGAGTGTTGTCTAGATTCAGATTGTCAAGCCTATGGCCTAACTTCTATGCAGTCTGCGATGGGCTTGTTTTGACGGCGTGCAGGATTCCGAGCTTCTATTCGACGACAGGCGTGCTGCCAGAGAGCGCTGTCTACCCCAAGTAGTTATTTTGTGGGGATTCGCATTCTGAAGAAGTTTACACGTACATGTTAGTTCCTCCGCTATTGTAGTACGCTTGCCATTCTTGCGAAGGGTTTCTTTTCTCGGCTGGAGGCCCGCAGCGTTGTCATTTTGTTGTCGCAGTGTCATCATGTTTGTTGTTGCTACCGCTGCTGCTGCTGCTGCCGCCGCCGCTTCGGTTGCTGTTGCAGTTGTCGCGCGCGCCAGCGCGCTCCAACCAGTGATTCCCACGGGCTGTCACGGTTGTCTGCAGCCAGGCACCTCAACCAGCTCCACGACAACCGCTAGCCGCACCTCAACCTCGCAAACAACGTCTTCAAGCCAGACAGTGAGCTCCTCGAGTTTGACCACGACTAGTTCAGGCGTGGCGTGGAGAGGGGCGCAGTGGGGTGCTGACGTTGGCTTGCTGGGCTGAGCATAAGGTGATCGCTCTGTTTCAGCGCGTATCTCCAATGCCCAGACCCAATAGCAATTGCGTGAAAGCTAGAGGGGTAGTTTAGGGAGGGCTAAGTTGTGCTTGTTTTGCGGCAAACAATGCACCCGCAAACCCACACAGGGGGATGCTCATGATGCTCCAGATTGTGAGGTGAGACTGATGCATTGGGCAAGGGTTCTGATGGCACGCCGTTGCCCGCAACTATGCCACACCGCCCGCAGTCAGTGTTCTCAATGCTGAGTGCAAGTTCTTTGCATGACAGATGCGGCAAATGTGGGCTTCAGCTGCGCCACGGTTGAAATCGACATGGACTCATTTGATATTTGTATGAATTGGGTGAAGCTCGTGTCTTCGAACCATAAACCCCGAAGCTGAGGCCAAGCGCGCAGCCCCCCGTCCCCCCAAACACACCAAACTCCTGTCCTCCGCAGGGCGAGCCTGTGTCTCAACAACCCACGTTTTGTGGGCCGGTAAAAATCCGGCTTGCGCAAAACTGAGTACCTCTTTCTGCCTTTGCAGGGTTGACTCGACAGTTGTCTCAAAGAAAACGAGCAGCCGACTGTCTAGGCCTTTGCATCTAGGTTTGATTCCGTACCATTGCATGCACACACTCCAGATGTGTGCGTACCTTGTTCGAGTGGCTGCTTCATGCCTCTCGTGGGGGAATTTGTAAGGCACCGCGACAACAACAACGATCTCAGCCACGAGCACTGTCACTACAGGCTGCTCCATGCTGATTCGGCGCTGCGTGGCCAACTGGTCAATTCTTGTGACATGGGGCGTTAGAGCAGATGTCGTTTTGGGCGATGGCTTGACCCTATCAACTGACAGATTGGGCACTTCGGTCCGGCATTAAACACGTGACAGGTACAACAACCAGATCAACTACTGTGAGTAGCAGCACCACAGCAAGTAGCAGTACGACAGCCAGCACTCTTACCGTCACGAGCTCGTCCACAACTTCGACGTTCGCAACTACGACCACGTTCACCCTGACAGCATCGGCCACTTGGCTTGCGTCTCACTTCCTTCATTTGTTGCGCTTCTGGTTTGTGCGCAATGACTGATGAAGGACACGCAGGATAGTCAACCGCTCTTCGATGACTTCACCAAGTTGTACAAAACACAGCCCTGCCAATCTGCTTTCACAAACGTGAGTTGCCCTGCTTTGCTGCATTTGTTGCCTGCAACAGTCAACAAACACACGTTGGGCTTTCCGACAAGCACATCAGTTGCCCAAGAAACAGCAATGCATATGCATTGAAGTGGTTTCGTGTTAAGTTGGGGGGCGTGTTCTCCGGGACTGCTTGCTCAAGACCCGTTCAGGTCCAATGTACTGATGGCCTTCCCAGTGGATTTGACACCAGCGATTGCCAGAACAAGTGGAGTGGACACCAAGCTGAATTTGGGAAATGTGCACGTGTGTGTTTGTGTGTGTGTGTGCGCGAGCAAGATGAGATCAACTCATGGGTCCTAGACTGTGGCGATCTTGGCTGGGCGTTCCTTGAGTAGGTTTCCGGGTCGAAAGTTCTGACACAATTTAGTTGAAGGGCATTGTGCGAACGCAACTAAGGAGAGTTTTGCACAGTATCTTGCATATCTCCAGAGTTTGGGACGTCAAGCTATGCTTGCAACCCGGAGACAGGCACATTCACAGGCTGGGATCCCAAATGAACCTTGACTTTCTTGCAGGATTTTCCAGCATGTTGCCTCGTGACAGAATCGAAGTCTCTGCATTGAACCACCGGAGGTTCTCCCCCCGTTTGTGTGCGGCGTTCCTGCAGCTTTGCCGATCCCGTGCCTGCGTTCTACCAGCAGCTCTGCTGCAAAGCCCCTCAAGCTCGAGAGTTTGTGCAGGAAAATCAGGACAGGCGTGCGATAGCATGTTGCCAAGCTGCTTTACCTTCAAGGTGGAACATATTGCAGTTATGCTACTGAAGCATGTTCACTCATGCAACCGAAGCCCAGCATTCTTGGTTGGCAAGGTCCAGCGACTGCACAAACATTTCGTCCGCGGGGTTTTGCTTCGTGGCCTGCCCTGATGGCTACAGCGGCATTGACTCGACACTCGGCATAGCGTGCAGACATTGCATGCAAGGGTTGGTCTTGTCGGATACTTCAGCAACCATCGTCGCAACTCTGTGGGCATGGGGGTAAAGACCTTACCATCAGGCTCTACTTCTGCTCGCCGGATTGGAAGCTGTATGGCATCCTGCCAGAGTGTTCAAGGCCTGGGTCCAGACATACCCTTCCCGAAGCTTCAAAGCGCAGGAAGCCGTTTCTGCCCATGCTTTCTGACCTTTAACATGCGATTGTCAATGAGAACGTGGCCAGGGTCACTTGTGACTGGAGCCTGCTGCCGGCCAATGCCGATGTCAGCAACTGCGCCACCACCGGACCGGGGGAAGCTTGTGAGGTGCCGGGTGACATTGTGTCAAGTCTCAAGTTCTTCCCCCATGAAGCACGCCCTGCAACAGGTATGCTGGATGTTTGTGAGGCAGTTGAGTCAAGCTCAGAGACCATGTTAGGTGTCCTGCAGTTACGGCTCCACAGGTGCCTTGGTGCGCAGATTGATTGCCTCGAATGGGGTCTCAAGCCCACCCAGTTCAGCAATTCTAAATTTACTCAAGGCACATCCCATGCATATTCCGGAGCCTGACTTCGCCTTTAAGCCATTGGGCCCTATGCAAGCGCCTAAGGCGCATCAACCCAATATAGCTGCGACGCAAACGGCGACATTCGGGGCACAGCGCCAATCTGCGAGCCTTGGGCAGCACATGAAGTTTCAAGGTTTCCCGAGTCTTCCCTCAACTTCCTTGGACACAGAAGTCAAATGTTTGCGCTCAAGTGTGGTGAGTGCGGCAAGTCACACGCCATCAAGCACATCAAACACTACCAAGCAATCAGGTACTGAGATATGTTCTGAAAAGGGGCGTTCTGTTGAGAGCAAGATGCATCACAGTGCTGCATTCTCACAATGCTTGTTTCAGGAACCTGTGACATGCAGCGGTTCGTGGACGGATTCCCATGTTCTTGTCAATTGCCAGAATGTGCCTCGGTTGCACGGCTTTGGATGCAGCTTTGATTTTACCAGCATTTGGCAGTTTTGCCAAGAAGGCCTGAGTGAACAAGAAGCCAGAGTGTAGTGAATTCCATGGGGAAACCGGCACAGAGTGTAGCGCTGTGAGTTTCGCAACGGCGCGAGCCAGGGCGGTGACTTCCTCACAGCCCAGATAGTCCATGGGGAGAGCTGTGTTGCCTACTGCAGCAGCGGCTACTTTGGCGTTTCCACGGCGCTCACATGCGCACTTTGGCTTATTTGGAGAGCGAAATGTCTAAATCCGGTTGGGGTTGCGATGTGCGAATGCTAGCTTGCAGTAGAGAACGCGGCGAGCAAGCTGGACGTGGTCTTCGAGCCACCGTGGTATCCTTGTTTCTAAGCCACAGCGATATCATGAATCTTGCGCGTAGTCCCACAGTGCAAGCTACAAGAAGTCTTGCGCGAGCAAGAATGATGCCACGTTGGACGCGCACTGTATGCATCGAGAAATCAAGACCAACGCAGCTTGCTTCAGGACAATGGTGACTTCACTGGTGCAATTCCGACTTGCCAGCCGGAAGCTTGCTCCTGGGCAGGTTTTGCCATGAGAAGCAATGTGCACCTTGGATGCATTTGGAGCAGCTCATGTCGGCTGTGTCCTTTTGTCCTTGTTTGGGTGCTGAGGAACTTCACCGACTGCTTTGACAAGAGCCTCGGCCAGTCCTGCACGCTTGGCTGTGAGGCTGGGTACACGCCGGTGGGTGAGCCTGCGGTGCAGTGCCGGCTGAACGGCACCTTCAGCGAGCCAACTCTCCTCTGCGTGCCCGCGAGTTGCGGCGACCTCTCAGCAGACCCAGACTTTCCGCCCAACATTGTGGGGCACACCTGCACCGGAGCAGTCTTCGGAGAGTCTTGCATCGCCAACTGCCAAGACGGCTACCGGCTGCTTGGAGCAAGACAAGCGCCTTCCGGGGCCATCAAAGTCAGCGCCTTCAGCAAACTGTGTTGCCTCTGCTTTCGCATGCTTCCACATCGCCTGAGGCTGGTGGGCAGCGAGGTGCAGCTTGCCTGCCGTGCAGTGTCGGTCTCGGCCGGCTTCACGCTGTCGAACGGTGAGCCTGCTCAACCACCCACGTGCCAGCTGCAGTTGGAGGGTGAGTTAGTTTGCAAAAGCAGCTGTGTGTCCGTTGATGTTCCACAACGATGCTCAGGAGCACTCAGATCTTGTCATTCATTCTTTCAGATCTTTGAGCATTTGTCAACTCTACTTTGCCTTTGTACAACGCCAGGTGCGCTGCCAACCCTTGCGACAGCAGCGGCTTCCCCACGGCGCGAGGAGTGCTCTTGGGCATTTGTGGGCCTTTGACATTGGTTTGTCCTGGAGCGTAGGAGGTATTTTGGCAACATATTCTGAGATGCTTCGAGATACGAAGCGATGTTTTTTTTCTTTTGTGTGTGTGTGTGTGTGTGTTGGGAAAGATGGATCACGTGCATTCCAGGAGTACTCCACAACTGCTCGGGCATCACAACAGGACAACTCTGTTGGGTAGACGCACAACCAGGCTGGCTGGAATTGCGCTCACTCCGCTCTGGCCTGTGGCATCTAAAGCAAGGTGTTTGCGCTTCATGGCACCAACAAACAAGGCATGACTGTGCTAAAATTCTAGAAACGACCGCTCTAGTGCAACTTTCAGCCGGATGGTTCTCCACGGGCAAGCGCCATAGTTTGTCTTCGGAAGTTTGCATTCCGCAGCTTTGGCCTTCACTCTGCCACTCCGAGGGTATGCTGAGGGCGGCCGAGTCTTTGACGCACCGCGCAAAGCAAAGGTGATGTTGCCGGCCTGGCTTAGTAAGCCTTAGCACTCGGGGGGACCTCAAGAGTCTTCTGCGAGGCTTCCCTGGCACGCCGTGCCCTCATGCCGGCCTGTTGGAAACTATCCTTCTAGCAGAGCCCCCTGAGAAGCCACGAGAGATGACCCCTTGGCAGGGTCCTGCCGCCGGCAACGACTTCACCTTACGCACGCAGGCACGCAGGCACGCAGGCAGGCATGCTCGCACGCAGGCACACACTCACTCGCTCGCTCACTCGCTCACTCAATGACTCACTCACTCACTGGGTGAGTCACTCAGTCACTCAGAATTTCAGTCATCCTCACGCACTCACTCCACTCCACCCCACTCCACTGCGCTGCACTGCGCTGCACTGCGCTGCACTGCACGGCACTGCACTGCACTCCACTCCACTCCACTATACTCCACTCCACTGCACTGCACTCCACTCCACTCCGCTCCGCTCCGCTCCACTCCACTCCACTCACTCACCCACTCACACTTAAGCATTGCAAACTTAACGTTTCCCGGTTTCCCTCTAGTGGTTTCACCAACCGCGCAACCTCATCCCACTCAATGCCTTGTTTTTGTAGCTTGCTTCCCGCGCTCCGCGCCTGCTGCGCAGTTTGGCAAACCACCCTCCCACCATCCCTCCTCCCACCCGCCCGCCCACCCCGCCCCACACCCCGCCCGCGCCCATGCCCACCAGTTGCGCATCACAGGAAGATGCTTGGTGGATCTGCAGAAAGATGTTTTTGAGAAGCCTGTTTTGGCGCATCGCCCGCAACTGTCGGCCCCAGCAACTGCAACTGGCTTTCCCAAAGCAGCGTGACCCCGGATTCAATCTTGGACCTAAGACAGCAGTGCTCTACCAGCATCACCTGCAACTCAGCACCGCATGGCTTTTGCTCCATTCACTCTTGAGAGGCTTCAGCGCCGTGAACGGCACCACGTGGCTGACGTGTGGCAGTGAGCCATGGCAAGAGTGAAGCGCTGAACGCTTTTTGAACTTAGCTTGACGACCGTCAAGTCTTTGATCTTCAACAACGAGTGGCGAACAGTGACTTGTATTCCCCAGATAGCTAAAGAGGGTAAAGTGGGGCCTGCAGTTTGGGGTGCTGGCGAAGTGCTGTTTTGGGAAGCATGACCGCAGGATGCTGGGAGGTGCTGGTGACGGCGCGGGCGCATTTTTGGCACCGGCCAAAGTGCTGTTTGGGGTGGCCAAGGTGCTGCCTGTGCAGCCTGTGGGCGCTGTCAAGGTGCTGCTGCCACTTGTTGGCGATGCAGCCAGGGTGCCGGTCAGGGTGGTTTTCTTGGTCAGGGTGCTGGTACGGGTGGCTGCTCGCGTCAAGGTGCTACTTTGGGTTTTGGTCAAGGTGTTGTGTGGCGCGTCAAGGCGTGGTGCCACTTTTAGCCAACAAGCGCAGGCATCCTGCACACCCACATGCTTGCAGGACGACAATTTGGTCCAAGTCCCTTTTCGCTGGGACGGGTCCAACGAGGTCTGAGTGCCCAACGATTCCAGCAGTGCCTTCCTAGCCTACCAGAAGGAGAGGCTGGCTAGGCAGATCATGAACGATCCCAAGCATCAAGAGCTGAGCAGTCCACGGGCAAGCTGAAGCAAAATGCAAGGTTGTTGCCGCTGGCTGCTGTGACCCTGACTGTCCTACGCCTCCAGAGCCAACAGGAAGTTCATGAACCAGAAAGAGCGGTGGATCCTTTTGTCCGGCGACGTCAAGACAGCCTTCCTTCAACGAGTTCGTCAACAGCCTCTTCAACTTCTACCGCCAGAGGACGGCATTACTGCCAGAGCGTCGACATTTCGGGGCCTCTTGTACGACACCAACCAACAGACTGATCAAGGCCGGACTCACACGAGCCTCGACCACCTGTTTTTCTACAAGCTCAAAGGCCAGCGCCAACGGAAGCTGCTGTGCCTCGTTTTGGTCTACGTGGATGCCTTTCTACTGACCGCCAATGAGCTCTACGATTGCGACGAGGCCTCGGCCTATCTTGGTGGGGATCACAGCGCCTTGCCGAGATCAACGAGAGCTTCGCCTTCATCGAGGCCGGCAAGACCACAAAAGAAAGACCGCCGAGGAGATATCAGAGTCTCGCTCAGTGTCGGGATGCCTGCAGTGGCTGTCAGAAGAGACACGCCCAGACATCGCATCAGCGGTTGTTCAGGATTTTCAGTCGCTCTTCCAAGATGGCGGACTTCACCCACAGACGATGTCAGCCTGGTTTGTCATAAGCTGGACGGCGAGTGCGTGGGGCTTGGAACTATGCTGGGTTGGAAATCCTCGCGTTTCGCAGAGCTGGCAGAAGCACTCCTGCCGCGGAAGCCATTGCTGCAGACATGTCAGTTGACAGGAACTCGTACATGAATCTGGCAACGTGCGAGCTGATGCAGGACACGTGTCCACGCCACTGCGCGTGATCCAGATCACAGATTGCAAGAGCCTTTACGACTGCATCGCTGCCGAGAACCCCAACAAGGAGGACCACTATCGTCAATCCGCAGCGCCCAGCAGTATGTCAACCGAGACAAATCTACTGGGCGTCGACGAAGCTGCAATGGGCCGACAGCCTGACCAAGATCAGCCGCAACCTGACGGAGCAGCGCAGTGAATGGGCTCAGCTTCTACAAAGCCGCGCTCTTGAGAGGCACATCTTCCAACCCTCCTTCAGATGTGGCCGCATTGACCATTGCATCGTGTGGCCATTTCGCGTCACAGGGCGCTCAGAGCTATTGACTTTCATTTGCGTTTTCCGCGCCGCGCGCCGTGGATGAGGTTACTGCACATCAAGCAGCACATGATGAAGAAAACGCTTCGTTGTTGCAGTGCCCGTTCTTCCTCACGGTGGGAAAACCGTTCGGGTCAAGCCTCCGGTGCTATCTGGGGTCTATGCTGGCGTAGTTGGTTCCGCCGGCTGTTTTTGAAACGGAACACAGGAGCGAAGCTAACTTGAATTCTTGACCTACTGCTGTGCCAGAATTAGGCTTAAACGAATCCAGCATTGGCCCTACTGGGGTGTGACGAACCCATGGTTTGGCCCCGACATTGGTTTCATTTTTTCTTCAGTACATACACAATGATATACAGCGACACTTTTTTTCAGTCTTCAACTTTCATGCCTTTCATGCACAGCTTGATCTCAGCGGACTCAGGACGGGGTTGTCTCCGGAGAGGTACCAGTCATCGAACCTGCTGTTTGTGCAACTGCCTCCTTTGGCGCCGGTGTGGGGAGCACTTGCCGCGACAAGATTCTGGGTGCAGAGTGCTGGGCGTACTGTATGGCCGGCTACCTCGGTGATCCGCAGAGGCACCTCAACCGCCCATGAAACCAAACCCAGTACGTGCTCGGGCATGGATGGCATGGCCAAGTCACCCAACTGTCGGCAATCTGAGATGGGTGCAGAATGGACCCAGCTAGCCGAGAGGAGATCCAGGAAGGGCCCAGTTTCTCACATCAATTCTATGTCATATACTCTCAACTCTTTAAACCTCAATAAGCATGATTCAGCGGCTTTTTCGCTCATGGAGTCGCAGCAAGTGCAATCACTCTGTCCTTGGTTGCTTGTGCAACATGCAAAGACGTTGCTGCTAGAAATTGGGAGTTTGTGTACGCTCAATCAGGCATGGCGTGTTGTGGTGCCACTTCGGATCTTGCCGCCTGACACCACCTACTTGCCTACGTGATTGCGCGCTTGTGCATGCAGTCGGGTCGGACTCTGTCAGCGCAAAAAAAACCACGTGTTCAGCAACTTGCACTTGCATCACGCCGGCGCCAGGCATTCCCCGCACAACCTGAGAAGCAAGCCCGTTCCAATGATTCCTTGCACAACATGAAAAGCGTGATCGTTCCAGTGATTCCACATACAAGATGACGCGCGTTCCAGTGATCCCACACACACACACACGCCACACACACACACACGCATACGCGCAAAATACAAGAAGCATTCCTGTCCCCAGTTATTCCCCGCGCAACATGAGAAGCATGGTCGTTCGAGTGAATCACAACATGAGAAGCACGCTCTGAGTCAGATTTTGGGCTCTGGTCAAAGCCAAGCAGAAAGCAGACTTTCAGCGTGTGCCCGTGCCTCTGTCATAGCTGCTGCACACCGAACACTTGAGAGAAAACCATGTGTTTGGGCTGTTGCAAGGACATATTTGTGAAATAAAACGACGCTGAGCGAGCATGCGGTTTGCAAAGAAAAGGGGTCACGACTGAACCAGGTTCCTTGCGCCTGCCAACGAAATGGGTCAGAGTCAAGACAGCTTCTGAACGTGAGGCGGGACGTGAAGTCGTATCAAACAATGCCAACGCAAATCTGCTTGCCCGCTGCATTACCTCCCCATCCTCTTACCCATCCTACACAGACTCCCCAGCTTGGCCACACATTATCATGGTTTTGAATGAAACATAATCCATTCTTGCCAGGTCCGACAAGGTAAGAGTATTGCCGACTTGAGTACAACTCACACTTCTCGAAATCCTTGCCTGCATCATGGAGTGTAGACACTACTCTGCTCAGGTACATCTGCGAAGTGGATGCATCAGGTAATCCAGATGTGGTGCCTTCTGGGAACACCATCAACTGTCAAGTAAATTCTACCACCGCGCCTATCCGTCGCCTTGCCGCCGCTGGCACAACTTGCGACCTCAACAGCGTCGAGGTTGGCCTGAAAGGGTGCTGACAAATGCCATATCGTCTGGACAGGTGAGATCAGGTGGATTGCGATTCGCGAACATGTTGTTCTGCTGCTTTGATTTGACTGAACTTGGGATGGCTGTTCACCTTCAGATGATCCATCATATTGCCATGTTGTGCACATTGTAGTAGAACAGACCAAGCAGTGTTTGCAATCGCTTGAAGCCATGAGCTATTTGACTTGAATGAGGAGGGAAGCAGCACATTACTTGGGCCATCGGCGTTTCATCCGTTGCCAGGCGGTGGGATTGGACGATGTCCAATTTGTGCACAACTGCGATCCCGCGGCTCATGAAGATGTTTGTGTCGCCCACTGTGACTTCGGCTATGAGATGACATCCTCTGTGTCAGTGCTGATTTGCGATCTCGGCAACCTGGCAGCTTGGCTTTGCAGGCGAGTGCGAGGCTTGTGAGTGGGCAAGCCAGGCCTTTAGCTGAGGTGGGCGACGCACCTGGCTGTCAGCCGCTTCCCTGCAACTTCTCCTTGCCGGGTCCAAAGGCGTGGACAGAAAAGGCTTAAGCTGAAGCTCACCTGAGTTGCCACTGCAAAAGCTCCTTGTATTGCCGTGCTGTTGCAAACATAGTCGTTTTTGTCCATCGGGTTGGCGCTGTCCTGTGCTTGCGCAGACGAGCCACAATTGCAGCGGGGCCGTGACGGGCGAGTTCTGCCGCGTGGGCTGTGCGGACGGCTACACTGGGACCGACACCATGCTGCGCTGCTCTCAGACGGGGAACTTTGTAGGCGCCCAGCCGTGCCTTGGAATGGAACACGCGGAGATCAAGCGCATGGCGCACGGCTGGGAGAAACTGTCCAGGCGAGAGCGTGTTGACCGCTGGTGTTGATTACATGCCAGGAGACAGGAGTCTCTGTGATATTTGTTGTCTGTCACGCTGGTGTTTGGCGTGGACAGCCCCAGCAGTTCCGTAATTAGTCTGGAGGAATCGATGCTGGGGACCGTACACTTGCAGACAACGCCTGCTTCACACACGCCTTTCGCACAAAATCACACCACAACCACCATGAGCGCAATCTGTTGCACCCAGGACGTGTGATCCTTTGGTGTGCAACGACTTGCAGCTGTCTGGTGAGTTCAGTAGCAACTGCCAAGGCAAGCAGCAGCCTGGCTGGAGACAGCTTGTGCTTTTTGCCAAGTGTGGAAGATATAGTTAATAAAGCCGCGCTAAGCCTTAAGCATTTTCGATTTGAGGTACACAGAGAGCTGCACTGTGGTCTGCGCAGAGGGCTACGAACTGCTGGGAGGCGTGGAAGCATGTCTTCCGCATTCCGGCATGCGACTCAAGCGGTCCAGGCTCAGGCCGCCAAACCTGTGGCGTGAATGGCTTCAACGGAACATTGCCAAGCTGCCGGGCCTTGCCTTGCGCGCCTCATCTTGCAGAGTATTCCGCTGTATTCCATTAAAACACCCCTCCATGCCAGACAGTAACGAACCTGGGAACCTCAATCAGGCGAACACCGTGCCTTTCGACCCAACTTTCTACCGGGACGCCTGCGAGAACGTGGCTTCGGGCGAGAGCTGCAATGTGAGCTGCCGCTTGTCATGGCACTCCCTTGAATACCAAGGCCTGCAGTCTGCCATTGCCTTCTATGTGGACATCTTGACATTTACTTGAGCATAGCAGTGCAACGTCCTGCTGCGTGCAAGTGCGCCAACAAGCAGTTGAACATGCCAGCAAGTTACAGGGTGTGTCTGTCACCCGCATGCAAGCAAGCAGTATTTGGGCAGGCCACACGTCCAACCATCCCAGGCAGACCCGGCTTCCAGGAAACCATGACCCAGCTTGTTTGCGGAAGCTACGTGTCAGCAAGCAAGGTGTGGACAAAGCTTCAGGCCTTGGCTTTCGAGCTTGTGTGCTTGCGTGTTGGTGTGCTTGCATGTTGGTGTGCTTGCATGTTGGTGTGCTTGTGTGCTTGCGTGTTTGTGTGGTTGTGTGCTTGCTTGCCTGCACGCTTGCTTGTGTGTTTGTGTGCTTGCGTGTTTGTGTGGTTGTGTGCTTGCTTGCCTGCACGCTTGCTTGTGTGTTTGTGTGTTTGTGTGTTTGTGTGTTTGTGTGTTTGTGTGTTTGTGTGTTTGTGTGTTTGTGTGTTTGTGTGTTTGTGTGTTTGTGTGTGTGTTTGTGTGTTTGTGTGTGTGTGTGTTTGTGTGTGTTTGTGTTTGTGTGTGTGTGTTTGTGTGTTTGTGTGTGTGTGTGTTTGTGTTTGTGTGTGTGGTGTGTGTGTTTGTTTCCCCAGACAGCTGAAAGCTATAGGGGTTCTAACTTCCAATAAAGAGGGGAAAGTCATTTGCAAGTATGACGGCTGGGTGCTAGAGGGTGTTCGGTTTGGCGTGCTGGCGCAGGTGCTGTTTGGGGGTTGCTATTTGGGGGTTGCTGGTTGGGGGCTGCTGTTTGGGGTGCTGTTTGAGGTGCTGGTTATGGTGCGGGCGCATGTGTGCAAGGGGGGCATGCAGGTGACGGCCAATGCGTGTTTTTTTGCGAGATTGACTGCAGGGTTCTATGGGGCATGCAGTTTTGGGGTGCTGGTGCTGCTTTGGGATGCTGTTTAAGCTGCTGTTTGAGGTGCTGGTGACGGTGCGGGTGCATTTTTGCGAGATTGACGGCCGGGTACTCTGGGGGTTCTGTTTGGGGCGCTCTTCGGGTGGTGCCGTCTGCTGGTGTGCAATCATCGACCCTGTTTTTCACTATTTGGTGTCTATGCTGGTGTAATGAGTTTGTTTGTGTTGGTTTGTTTGTTTGTTTGTTTGTTTGTTTGTTTGTTTGTTTGTTTGTTTGTTTGTTTGTTTGTGTTTGTGTGTTTGCGTGTTTGCGTGTTTGTGCGTGTTTGTGTGTTTGTGTGTGTTTTGTGTTTGTGTGTGTGCGTGCGTGGGTGGGTGGGTGAGTGTGTGTGTGTGTGTGCTCGAGTGTTTGTGTGCTTGTGTGTTGTTGCAGGTGTTTGCGGATGTTTGCGCGTTTGTGTCTTGTGTGTGCGTGGAGCGTGCTGAAGTCACTTCATACCCATAGAAGTAAATGAACGATCAGGAGGCTATTTTCTCCCGATCTTGGGTCTGTTCAAAGATAGCGATTTTGAACTACTCAAGATGAAGCCCGTGCGCGGAGACATTGAACTTAGTTTCCATTCTCTTCGGAGGGGGCACAAGTGAGGAAGAACTTTGCCTCGCAAAGAAGATTGCAAATGCGAAAGTTTTGTCCCGAATCCTGCGTCAACATGCACGTATGAACCTCCATCTCAGCCCTCATCATTGCCAAAGGGAGAAGCGCTTGCTCGGCCACGACGGCTTCGCAGTCTGAGCCCTCAGAAGATCGCATTCTTCAACGTTGGTACGGACATTGGTCAGAGACCTCTCTGACCTCTACGACAACAGGTCCCTCCAGTGATGCGGCGCTGGAAGCCTGGGAACTGGGAGTACTTGAAGCGCATTGCGTTCAGAAACGCCAGGCAAAGACGCAGCTTCAGGGCAGGAAGACAGCTCAACGTCAACAAGATCATAGACAGGGCGTTCAAGCCCGAAGACCGGTTCAGATACCTCGCACAGACAGTGCTCGAACCATCTCAAGACCGGCCGGTAATTTGCAGATGGCCGCAATTCTTAGAACAACGTGTTATCTCTAAATGACATGCGTCGTGTAAACGGCTTTGCTCAAAGTTTAGATCGAGAAAACTGCTTTCAAGCTCCAGCAGTCGGATTTGACAACAGTCTAATTTGGTGTTGGTTCTGCCCTCGATTTTCTAGCCGAATTGCCCTGCTTCTTTTGTACGCTGGAGCATACCGCGTTCTTTCAACATGGTGTCAGCCGCATATTGCAGGCAGGCGGTGTGAAGTTTAAAGGCCAGCCCGATTTTTTGTTGCAAGCAAGCTGGAGGGTGTTTTCAGGGTTTGCAAACCTTGTGTTTCACCCCGGCGGTCATACACGTGGACCATTCGCGAGACGCACGCACGTGTGCACGCGCGAGATTCGCAAGCGTGTGTGCGCGGAATCATGCCCATGGCCAAATGCGCCGAGTCTTTCAGGTGTAAGCATGCGGGTTTTTTACGTGCTTTTGTGGCAACTAGAGCTCAGCACTGCTATTGACCCATGACATGAGAAAGACATGCTCGCGCAGCTTTGAGGGAGGCCGAGAAATCAAAACAACTGAATGGTTCCGACAAAGTTTGCAGTCAGACCGCGTTGATCCGGACGTTTCCTATCCAAGGCTCGGGCAGTTTGCAGGGCACGTTGCCCAGGTGCCAAGCACTCTCTTGTCCAGGACCTGGAACTGGATGTTGGGAAACTTACTATTGGCTGTAGTTTAGCGATGTTCCCGTTCATGGGTGGTGTTGTTGTGGCTGGTTTCAGTCTGGCTTAGTTGAACTCATGCAAGAGAAACTTAAGGTTTCTTAAGGAGCGTTTCGGCATGTTTAATTCCAGTGTCTCGTTGAGGGTTCGTGTGACGCTGCTTTGGGGACGGGTTCGACTGGTTTGTGTGTTTCAGGGTTCGTTCACGGCTCGTAGGTCTGCTTGGTCTGTGGGTTAAACCCGCTCATTACTGCTAGCGTTGATCTTGTCAAATGTTGTTCAGCAGTGTCGTCGTTGTGTGGGAAGCTGTTTTAGGGAGAAACTCGGGTTGCTTGAGGGCTGCCGTAATGTCGGCTGGGATTCGTTATGTCGTTCACTGCTCGTGACAGTTGCTCCGCGCACGTGTTTGGCAAAGGGCAAGCGAGCCCGCTTTGGCGCTCTCACGCACGAGAGTCGGGGTGACCGCTGCCGACAGATAGTTGCCGAGCAATACACGCGCACGCTCCGCGCACCGTGGCTGCCAAATTGTTTGCGCGCTCGCTCTATCGCTCTCACGCTGTTGCCCACCTGCTTGCAAACAATAGACGTGCAGCTCCAGCATGCTTACTTGCTCGCGACAGCAGCCATGACCACTGCGCACGTGTTTGCCAAATAGTAAGCGCACCCTCTCTACCGCTCGCGCGCCAGGATCACCATGCATGTGTTTTCCATGTGCTTTCCAATTGGAAAGCGCCCCCGCTCTAGCACGCTCGCTCTCGACAGCGTCCGTGATCACGGCACGCATTTGGGCTGAGTGATAAGTGGGCCTCGTGATGTAAGCTTGCAGCAGACAAAGCTCCCCCACAAGCTCCTGCGGAAGCCATGCTGTACCTGGGCATGCCTGAGGGCGCGGCGGCGGCATGCTGTGAAACAACGCAGCCTGTTTAATTTGCTGGGCAAACATTGCTAGTTTTCGCCAGGTCCTGATTCCTGAGCTGGTTTTGCGGAGTAGAGTTTGTTCAGAAGTGATTTGGGGTTGAGTGCTGGGTTAGTTTAGGGTTGGATCCCGGCATCTTCCAGCCACCAAAAGAACTCAGTGACACAGTGCCCACCACACGGCATGCCATTTGCCGCGTTGGCATCCAACGCTTCACTGCAGGAGGTCAACTCGCAAATGCTTCACTCGCGCACACCTGCACTGGCGTCAGTGTGGGTGAGAACTGCAGTGCCTTCTGCGCTAGGGGTCGCTTGGCTTTGGCATCGTTGTTCAGATTTGATCGCGCCACTTCGCCTCTGAAGCCGCTGTGCTTTTGAAATTTGCTTCACGGCCATTCCGTTTGTTTAGGATTGTGAGATGAGATCTCTGAGCTTGCCAAGGCTTTGAGGCTTCTTCTGGATTGGGACTCGAACAACTTTCGTGCCGGATGGATGGCGAAGGCCTGCAGTGCTTGGGTTATTCGGTTGCCAGCCTCGCACTCCTGAAAGCATTTGAAAACACCTATGGTGGCCATGGTGGGCCTAGTGCAGAGGAGCACCAAGCAACGCAGGCCCTGAACTTTCCATTTTCACTTACGCACCTGGCATGTAACCGTGACTGAGCGTGGGTCGCATGGCAGTTGCGGTGCTCGGGCGATGGGGCCATCGATGTTCACAGTCCAAGATCCCATGCCCAGATCCGAAGCTGCTGGGCCCGATGCCTGCATGCCGGCCGGTGGTTTGCTCCCTGGGACTGCCGCAGCCATCATCGCGTGCGCTGGACAATTGCTCCAGCCTTTATGCGGGCGCACCATGACGAAAAGCATATTTTAACGCCTCCGGCTCACCGACATTACATGCCTGCCTTCTTATTTGCGTCCCTTTGGAATTGTCTCATTGTGAGTTGTCCTTTGGATGTTTCTCATCGCCATTGGACTTATCCCATTTGACTTCTCCCCTTGGAAGTCTCCCGGCAAGATCTCGTCCCCTCTTCTTCCCCTAAGATCCTTGCCCCCCTTGCCCCCCTTGCCCCCCTTCCTCTCTAAGATCTTTTCCCCGCCGTCCCTCCCCACCCCCCGAGATCTTCTCCCCCTTTTCCTCCCTAAGATCTGTTCCCACCTTTTGCCCTCTAAGATCTTCTCCCCCCTTCCCCCCCTTCCCCTCTGAGATTCTTGGCCCCTCATAATATCTTCTCCCCCCTTTCACCCCCGAAGATCGTTTTTTGGCCCCCTTCCTCAAAGATCTTTTCCCACCTTCCTAAGATCTTCCCCCCCCCCCCCCCTATAACATCTTTTCCCCCCTTTCACCACCCTAAAATCGCTTCCCCCGTTTTTTCCACCCTTTCCCCCTTAACCCTCCTAGCATCTTTTCCACGCTTTCTCCTCCGAAGATCCTCTCCCCTTCTCCCAACCCCCTTCAGATTTTTTCCCCCTGTCCCCTCCTAAGATCTCCCTTCCCCCCCTAAGATCTTTTCCCAACCTTTCCCCCCCTAAGATCTTCCCCCCCCTCCCCCCCCTTATAAGATCTTTTCCCCTCACTTTCCCCACCCCCCCCGAAGACCCCCCCCTATCTTCCCCTCTAAGATCTTTTCCCGCCCGAGATCTTTGCCCCCCTTTCCCTCTAAGATCTTTCCCCACCCTTCCCCCCTTTATAAGATCTTTTTTTTCCCCCCTTTTACCCCCCAAGATCATTTCCCTTCACTTTCCTTCACTTCCCTTCATGTGCTGTTTTTTTTGTTCCCTTTTCCTTCATTTCACTTCATTTCACAAGCATGGGAAACATCCCCAGCATCACTTGCATCATGCGCATCCTTGGCGGGCGCTGATGCGGATGATGCAGGTGATGCTGGCGATGCTGCCCAGGAGCTGCTAAGGATGCAAAAGCGGACCCGGGTCTCCGCAACTGTGCCCTGGGAGGAATCAAAAAACGAATAACAGGTAAAGAGGTAAGGAGCATTTCTGATGTCCAACACGCCGTCTGTTGTCGGCGGATTGCCGGTATGACATGGTAAGCCTCGCAATGCAAGATTGTTAACATCGCACGGTCGACGCTAAGAGAAGAAGCAAATCTCGGGTGTGGGCTCCAGTGCTTTTTCATTAAACAGTTCAAACAGCCCTTCTGAGTGAAGCATATCGGAATGTTGCCTTGCATGACGAGCTAAGTCCCGTTAAGTCCCAAGGAGACTTGCGTCCAAGAGTGCAACCAGGGCTACGAAGGCAACCTGGTGAGCTATCACTGCGGCGCGGATCCTGGGCAATCAGTTCGGGTTGCGTCCGCTGCCTTTATGGGGATCAAATCTTGGCAGAGCCCTTGCCAGTGCCAATCAGGCCTTCAGACACGCATCCGAATTCAGATGCAGTATTCTTTGCATTGGTGAGTCGGTAAGACTGGGTTGCTTCGTTTCAGGACAGCATTGCGACCAGCAGCTCCACACCCGAATGCAGGCGAAGCTGAGCGCGAGAGCGCAAGCAGTGCCACGTATCATGGCAATGTGGCAGACTCTTGAGGGTGTTGACTGCCTGATGTTGTTGCTTCCGCATAATTTTAGCCTGCAAATGGGATCTGAGCAAAGACGCACCTTTGAGAGGCTGGAGCGGTGCGATTGGAGCGTCATACCGTCCTTTCTGATGCACACGTGCGAGAATGTGACCTATGGAAGTAGTTGCTTTGCATATTGTCCTCCTGGCTACATTTCTGACGCTTGGCACTGGGCGGGCTTGGAGAGAAGCAAATGGAAACACTGGGTGGGCGGGAGCCCGTCGAAAGCCTTGATTGAGCCCCCCCCCCCGTAAGAGGGAAGAATTGGGCCTATGTGTCCCCCAAGGCCCTGAATAATAGTTTCCTGGCTTCTCCCTGGGCCAGTTCCAGGAGCTTTAGAATGTTAAAAGAATCAAATAATTTAAATAATTCAAATAATGTAAATAGTTCAAATAATTTACATATTTATATTTTCATGTTGTTTAATTTTTGGAGGCCTCCAGAAATTTAAAAAATATCTAAATATAAATATTTAGATTATTTGAATTATTTAAATTACTTGATGTTTTTCTTATTTTTCCCGAAAGCATGGCGAAGGGTTCTTCCGTTGGGTTCACTTGAGTTGTTCTCATGAGAGTCATTACAAGGTGTCATTGCAAGGAATCAGCGTCAAGAAAGTCATTGCAAGGAGCCATTGCAAGGAGTCATTGCAAGGAATCATCATCATGAAAGTCATTGCAAGGAGTCATTGCAAGGAGTCATTGCAAGGAGTCATTGCAAGGAGTCATTGCAAGGAGTCATGGCAAGGAGTCATTGCAAGGAGTCATGGCAAGGAGTCGTGGCAAGGAGTCATTGCAAGGAGTCATTGCAAGGAGTCATTGCAAGGAGTCATGGCAAGGAGTCATGCAAGGAGTCATTGCAAGGAGTCATTGCAAGGAGTCATTGCAAGGAGTCATTGCAAGGAGTCATGGCAAGGATTGCAACTTGCACTTGACAATTGCAACTTGCACTTGACTCCATGCACTTGCACTTGCACTTGCACTCACTTGCATTGCAACTTGCACTTGACTCCTTGCACTTGCACTTGGCACTTGCAACTTGCACTTGACTCCATGCACTTGGCTCCTTACACTTGGCTCCTTGCACTTGCAACTTGCACTTAACTCCGTGCACTTGCGACTTGCACTTGACTCCATGCACTTGGCTCCTTGCAACTTGCAATGGCTCTCATGACTCCTTGCAATGACTCCTTGCAATGACTCCTTGCAATGACTCCTTGCAATGACTCCTTGCAATGACTCCTTGCAATGACTCCTTGCAATGACTCTTTGCAATGACTCCTTGCAATGACTCCTTGCAATGACTCCTTGCAATGACTCCTTGCAATGACTCCTTGCAATGATTCCTTGAAACAAGCAAGGAGTTGCAAGCGCAAGGAGTCAAGTGCAATTGACTTGCGAGGAGTTAAAATCTCTTCTTAGGGCGGCGGGGTAGTGCCGACGACACCACACGAAAATCGACCCTCTGCGGGGATCGGCGTGGTCGAGGTGCAAAAACCCATGGTTTTTTGCAATTTCTAAAGTTCCCGCGCGACCCTCTGCGGGGATCGGCGGTCGAGGTGCAAAAACCGATGGTTTTTTGCGATTTCTGCGGTGCTCGCGCGACCCTCTGCGGGGATCAGCGTGGTCGAGGTGCAAAAACTCGAGGTTTTTTGCGATTTCTGCGGTGCTCGCGCAACCCTCTGTGGGGATCGGCGGTCGAGGTGCAAAAACCGTTGGTTTTTTGCGATTTCTGCGCGCGCTCGCGCGGTCGACCCTCTGCGGGGACCCTCTGGCGTGGTCGAGGTGCAAAAACCCATGGTTTTTTGCGATTTCTAACGGTGCTCGCGCGACCCTCTGCGGGGATCGGCGTGGTCGAGGTGCAAAAACCCATGGTTTTTTGCGATTTCTGCGGTGCTCGCGCGACCCTCTGCGGGGATCGGCGTGGTCGAGGTGCAAAAACCCAGGTTTTTTGCGATTTCTGCGGTGCTCGCGCAACCTCTGCGGGAATCGGCGTGGTCGAGGTGCAAAAACTCGAGGTTTTTTGCGACTTTTGTTGTTCGAACTGGTCCTCGGGAGTTGTCTCGTGGTTCGCGCGCCTGCTCCCGGAACCGGCGGGTCGCGGGTTCGATTCCTCCCTGGTCCGCGGGCGGGCGTCGCAAGATGCAACTTGCTTTTTAAAGCAACTTGCGCAGAGCAACTTGCGCAGAGCAAGTTGCACAGAGCAACTTGCGCAGACCAACTTGCACCGACCAGTTTGCGCAGAGCGCCTTGCCTAGAGCAACTTGCGCAGAGCAACCTGCGCAGAGCAACTTACGCAGAGCAACTTGCACAGAGCACCTTGCCTGGTGCTGTCTCGCGTAGGGAAAAAGAACGCATCCTGCAGCGTTGGGCCGACCTCGCTTGCGATGTTCTGCTTTCGGGCCAACCGTGGTCTAGTTTTAAATATCCTGGAACTGGCCCAGGGAGAACCCGGGAAAATATAAATATCTTCTTTGAGTATTCCGCACGGGCCCAAGGAGGGCCCAGGATATGTCTTTTTCAGGGCTCCAACAATTGAAAAGCACACGTAGTCGAATTGTTTGAATTCGAGACACCCAGATTCTTAAAATATTCTATAATGGGCCCAGGAAGGGCCCTGGACAGAACTTGGGTTATTTGAACAGATATGTTGTTCAGGACCTCCAACAATTTGATCAAAATAAGCAGTTCGCATTTTGAAATTATTTGAAATTTTTATTGGGAAAATTTCATTTTCGGAACTAGCCCAGAGGGGTGCCCTTGAAATTGTTTAAATTGTGTGAAATATCTAAATACTTAGTTACCTCAACATGTTCTTTTGTCCTAACTATTTAGGACGTTGGACACAAATGAATCTGGAGTTCTCCAAAAGGGGCCCGTCCCTTTGAACATATTCGAGTAGAAAGCATGTTGCGTTTATAAGACATATTCTAAGTAGACTAGTTGTTCAGTTCATGTTGGTTAATATAGTTAGACAAAAAAAGGTGCTGTTTTCCAAGTATTGACACGATTCTCAAAGATTCGTGTAATTAGGCTAATTAGACCAACTTTGAGAAATAGAATAAGTACCAATCGATCGACCTTTAATTCCCAAGAAAACACCCGTCCCTTTGAGAATAATTAGAATACTTAGCATGATTATGAAACATGAAAACAATTGGATTAGATAATAGACCTGGAATTCCTGAAAAGAGCCCATCCCGTTGGGAACCAGTGGACTAAATCAAATCATTATGATAAGTAGAATCATTAGCAAGAACATGGATCTGGAATTCTCCCCCACTGGAAGTAATTATTGGAAAACAAGAATGTGGAACTCTGAAAGCACCCTACCCTTTGGGAATGAGAATGATACATAGAGCAATTATCAGAAGGTGCAAAGCTATGAACCTGGAATTCCCCAAACGGCACCCGCCCCTCTTGGAATGAGTAGAAGCAAAAATAGCTATGATAAGTAGGCTAATTTGCAAAACATTAATCTTCAATACAAGTTGATAAGTAGAATCGCTAGACTAGAACATGAATCTGGAATTCCTCAAAAGGGACCCGTCCCTTGAAATAATTCGGGTACTTCCAAAAACAGAAATATCTGAAGTAGAAGGATTAGAGATACTGTGAGTCTGAAATTCCCCAATTTGAGGAATGAAGAAATTGAAAAACAAGAATCTGGAACTCCCCACAAGCACCTGTCCCTTTGGGAATGACAATAATAAATGGAGCAGTTATCAGAAGTAGAATCACAAACATTAACCGAAAAAACATCTGGAACTCAACAAAAAGCACCTGCCCCTCTCGGAATAAGAATAGTAATTATAATAGCTACGATGCGTAGACAACATTTCCCAAACATGAATTTTCAATTTCCCAAGGGCGCCCGTCCCTGTGGGAGTAATTAGAAAATTAGAGCAGTTAGAACAACCTGGAGATTCCCAGAAGGCACCTGTTCCTTTGAGAGGACTGATCACAAGAAGTAGAATAGTGTAGCAGACTGAAGCTGGAATTCCTCAAAAGTTGCCCGCCACGTTGGCAATACTTGGAAAATGCGGGGAGTTCCAAAACACCTGAAGTTGAATAAGAGAGAGACCATGAATCAGAATTTCCCCCAAATTTGGGAATGACCAGTTGCAAAAACAAGAGCCTGGAATTCCCGTCTTTTTGGGAATGATAATAATTTTGAGAACAATATCAGAAGTAGAATCAAGAGAAAAAAAAGCTATGAACCTGGAATTCCCCAAAAGGCGCCCCTGTCTTGGAATAAGGGGAAATCATGGCGATGATAAGTAGGCTAACATGCAAAACATGAATCTTCAATTCCAAAGGCACCCGCTCCCTTGGGAATAATAAGAAACAACAGAACATGTAGAATAACTAGAAAGATTAGAGCAAACATGAATCTGGAGATTCCCTAAAGGCACCGGTCCCGTTGGGAAGAATGATTATAAGAAGTTAATGAGTAGATTTGCTAAGAAAATGAATCTGTAATTCCTCAAAGGGGACCTGTCCCGTTGGGCAGAATTGAAATAATTCGGGTACTTCAAAAAACAGGAAATATCTGAAGTAGAATAGTTAGAGAAACAATGAATCTGAAAGTTCCCCAATTTGGGGAATAAAGAATTGGAAAAGCAAGAATCTGGATCTCCCCACAAGCACCTGTCCCTTTGGGAATGACAATAATAAATAGAGCAGTTATCAGAAGTAGAATCATTAAAAACATACAAAAAACATCTGGAACTCAACAAAAGGCACCTGCTCTTCTCGGAATAAGAAGACTATTTATAATAGCTACGATGAGTAGACAACATTTCCCAAACATGATTTTTCAATTTTCCAAGGGCGCCCGTCCCTGTGGGAGTAATTAGAAATTAGAGCAGTTAGAACAACTAGAATAATTGAACACACATGAACCTGGAGACTCCCAGAAGGCACCTGTCCCTTTGAGAAGACTGATCATAAGAAGTAGAATAGTGTAGCAGAGAATGAATTTGGAACTCCTCAAAAGGGTTCGCCCCGTTGGAAAATGCGGGTAGTTCCAAAACTCCCCTAAATTTGGGAATGACCAGTTGCAAAAACAAGAGCCTGGAATTCCCGTCTTTTTGGGAATGGGAATAATCATGAGAACAATATCAGAAGTAGAACCAAGAGAAAAAAACTATGAACCTGGAATTCCCAAAGGCACCCGCTCCCTTGGGAATAATAAGAAACAACAGAACATTTAGAATAACTAGAAAGATTAGAACAAACATGAACCTGGAGATTCCCTAAATACACCCGTCCCTTTGGGAAGCATGATTATTCGAAGTTAATGAGTAGATTTGCTAGACTAGAAAATGAATCTGGAATTTCTCAAAAGGGACCCGTCCCGTTGGGGATAATTGAAATAATTTGGGTTCGCCCAAGAACAGAACATATTGTACGTAGAATAGTTAGAGAAACAATGAATCTGAATTTTTCCCAGTTTAGAGAATACAGAATTAGAAAAAGCAAGAATCTGGATTTCCCCACAAGCACCCGTCCCTTTGGGAATGACAAGAATAATTGGAAGACGTAAAAGGCACCCACCTCTTGTGTAGTAATTTTCGTACCTAGAACAACAAAGGTGCCCGTCCCTTCTTGAAAAAGCAGAGTATCTAGCATAACTATAGAAGTAGAATAGTTAGAGCAAACACGAATCTGGAAGCTCTCAAAAGGCACCCACCCGTTAGAGCAAACACGAATCTGGAAGCTCTCAAAAGGCACCCGTCCCTTTGTAAATCATAATGATAGTAGTATTTTACAAGACTAATGATAAGTAGACTAATTAGCGAACGTGAATCTTGAACTCACTAAACGGCACCTTCCTGTTTGGGACCAAATAGAAAATAGGGACATAATCTAGAACTTACTATGTGGGAGCTGCTCATGTGGGATTGTTCGAATAGTTTGAACAATGCGGGAACCATGAATCTCGCCACCAACAGGCCCCATCCCTTTTGACATAATTATCCTACCCAGGGCAAACACGAGCTTGGAATTCCCCAAGACGCACCCCAGCTCCCTAGGGATTCAACTAGAATTATATAGAATGATTTTGATAAGTAGAATAACTAGCAAACAGGGCTCTTGAATTCCCCAAAAGTCACCCGTCCCTTTGGGAATAATGATGAGAATTAGAAGAGTTATGATAAGTAGAATAGTTAGATTAGTTCAAATAATTAGCACAAACATAAATCTGGAGTTCCCCCAACGGCACCCGCCCCTTTCGCAATAAGTGGGTAAATGAGAATAATTGTTATTTTGTGGGGAAACATATGCAATAATTAAAACAGTTAGGACAAAGATGGATCTGGAATTCTCCGAAAGCAACCCGTCCCTTTGGGAAGAATTAGAATGATTAGAACAAGTAATATAGTTATGATAAGTAGAATAGCTGGCAAACATGGATCTTGAATTCCACAAGACGCACCCGCCCCTGTGGGAATGATTAGAATGAGAATAAGTTGATCAGTTAGAATACTGTAGTTGAAACACACATGAATCTGGAATTGGGATTTCCGAAAAGGCACCAGTCACCCGTTCCTTGGGAATAGCTAGAACAAAGGAAATAGTTAGGGGCGGATTTGTGACAAGGGACCCCGTCCCGTTGGGAATGCGTGCTACAACCAGAATAATCAGAACAGAATGACCTGGAAACCACACTGGACTTCCCCAAATGGCTTGAAAACAACAAGAACCCTTAGATTTGCTCAAGTTGTTAGAATGAGTAAAATAACCATGAATGTTGATTTCCCCAAAAGGTACCTCCCTGTGGGAATACATCAGAGAATGATGATTGTTATGAGAAGTAGACTAACTCGAACACATTTGGCCCAAAATGCACCCGCCCCTTTGCGAATAAATATAAAATCACGTAGAATGGTTCGAAAACACATGAATCTGGAATTCGCCAAAGGGCACCCGTCCCTTGGTGAAAAATATGCAAGAATCAGAATAGCTGTAAGAATTAGGACAATGCATCTGGAATTCCCCAAAGCGCGCCCGTCCCTTGGGTAATAAATAGAACAAGTAGAAATTTCAATGAGTTAGAAGAAATTGTTTCGGAAGTCCCCAACAGTCCCCTGCCCCTTTGGGAGATTCTAGAATGATTCGAAAATTAAAAGGAAAGGGCGTTTTGTTTGTGTTAGTGTGCTTGGTGTGTGTGTGTATTGCTTGTCACTCTGTTTGAGTGCCCTTTGTGCTCTCAGTTTCTCTCTCTCTCTCTCTCTCTCTCTGCTTGTGTTTGCGTGCGTGCGTTCGTGCGGGCGTGCTTGCGTGCGTGCGTGCGTGCGTGCGTGCGCGCGTGCGCGCGTGCGCGCGTGCGTGCGTGCGCGCGTGTGTGTGTGTGTGCGCATGTGTGTGTGTGTGTCATGAGTGAGGGAAACATCCCCCCGCGTGCGTACCACTTTGAGGGAAACAATCATCCCGTGCGCGCACACCACATTGGACCTAATCTTCCCTGCCACTCCCCCTCCCCCGCCCCCCCTGCTTGAGCCCGCCGCCAAGCAACCAGATCATTATGAGGACCTGACCTAGGCTCAGGCTCCTGCCGCGGAGGCTTGATGGTTTGAGTTGGTGCAAGTGGGTTCCGCTTGTAGCTTTTGCCAACAGAGGATCTAGTGCGAAAGGCAACGGAGCAAAGGAGGCAGCATTTCGCATTTCAGGTTGAGGCTGCAAGATAAACCAACATTGAAGCCTTCGGCTTAGGCTGCCGACATTTGAGATGTTGCCTCAGCTTGGTTGCGTTCGCTTGATTTAGGGAGATGGGTTTAGACTTTGTGAAGGGTTGGGTTGGTTTGGGCTTTCTTCAGGGTGGGTTTAGGGTATGTATCGCGTTGATGTAGAGTTGGTTGAGGTGCGTTTTGGGGTCGAAAGATCAAATTGCGTAATGTTGGCACTTGATTAATAAAGGCCCCCCCCCCTGAACAATGGAGGCGCCAAAATACTGGGGGCTCACTTTTGGGATGGAGGATTTTGGGGCCCAATTCTACTTTAGTATTGCAGCCACTTCCTTTTTGCAATTCTACTTTAGTATTGCAGCCGCTTCTTCCTGAGCAGACTTCTTGGAATACTACTTTAGTTAGTATTGCAACCACTTCTTCCTGAGCAGGCTTTTTGGAATACTACTTTAGTATTGCAACCACTTCTTCCTGAGCAGACTTTTCGGAATATTACTTTAGTATTGCAACCACTTCTTCCTGAGCAGACTTTTTGGAATACTACTTTAGTATTGCAACCACTTCCCTTTCAGTTCTTTCTGTAGCCATTCAAGGGGGTGTGCCACCAATTGAAAGGGGAATGCTTTTAAGCAAGTGGGCCACCAATTGAAAGGGGATGCTTTTAAGCAAGTGGGCCACCAATTGAAAGGGGAATGCTTTTGAGTAAAGCAACTTATAGTTTATTTTCTGGGAGGGGGGGCTGGGGGCTTGCAAATAATGTGGTCCCCTAACAGAATGACATTGTTGTGGTTCAGCGGGGTCTGCGAGGGGTACCCTTGTCCTGATTGTTTTATTTTTGCATTTTTTAACACGGTTTAATAAAGGGTTTGCAGTTTCAGGGCTGGGGATGGTTTTCAAATTTCAGAGGTTTCAGCTGGCTTTGGGTTCTGTGGTTGAGCAACCAATTGATTTTGAGTCAACATGGATGTTGGGTCATTGTTTGCCGGGGGGATGGTTTTTTAAATTAAATAGATTTGTGGAGTTTTTATTGAATTTTCCCCCCGGGCAAAAACAATTTCAATTATTCTGGTCCCCCTAAACAATGGGTGCGAACCAGAATAAGGAAAACAACTTTCCATTATTGCGGTCCAGTTGATTAATCAAGTGCAACATTATGCAGGTGGCTGCAGGCTGGGTGCCAAGGTCGATTTGAGCTTAGGGTGGGCGCAAGGTCTGTTTCACGTGGGCGTAGAATTGGTATCAACGTGGCAAAGGGTTGGTTCGGTGGGTCTCCGATTGATTGATGCCCATGTTTGTGTTTGGCTTGTGTTTGTGAATTGTTTAGTGTTAGTGTAGGCGCGAGTTTGGGGTGGATTGGATTTGTGGCTGTTCTGCGAGGGATTCAAAATTGGCTGGATTCAGAGCAGCGGCCAGGCTGGAAACCCCCTCGTGGCACGGAAGCGCCTATTTGGATTTGTGAGATTCTGTTGTCAGGGTTGTGAATCAATGGTGATGTGATTTGCCGCAGGCTGTTCAGCAGACTTGATGTGCTGAGAAAACTTGTGGCAAGCTTCTACTACGGTGTTTGTTATGGTTGGCCACATCCGCGTTCCAAGTATCAGACAGAGCCTGGTTAGCTCTACTTGTGGTTGATGACATGTTGTTTGGGGCTTTGAAATTGTACTTCCACAAACATTTGAGAATGAGTTTGCAACTGTTGCATGTTGGCTGAATTATCGCCAGATAATTTGATGTCTAAGAATTGCCGAGGACAATCCGGCCACTCGCTTGGACTGTGCAGGGCCAGCTGTGTTGCTGCCCGCGTTGAGCACTGCAGAGGCTTGGCCGGCACAAAGACACAGGCTAAGGTCGTCAGAGAAACAAGACAGCACTCAGAGAAGCTAGCAGTTGCTGTTGATAGAGTGCCATGGTTTGAGTCTCATGTTTTGCTGCTCACGAAGCTTTTCTTCGTGAGGACATCACCCTCCGTGGCTTTCTGCCATTCTGCGAGCCAGCGACCTGCAGATACAACATCCCCTGGGAGACGCAGTATGTGCACAACTGCACCTATACGGAAGCTTGGTTCCAACTATGCGGATGTTGTTGTCAAAACCACTGTTTTGCAATTGTATGTTAGCACATTTAGGTTTGGGCTTGAATTCGGTCCTGGTAGTGTCGAACATTGGGCGGGCCGACCAACGATGTCGAGAAGTTGGGCGCAACAAAGCAAGCATTGTTGGCGCCAGCCAAGCAGAGCTGGGAATGACAATGCGCACGCAGTGCCTGTGACAGGATAAAGCCTTCAAATTTCTTTCAGGTGCGCACATATTGAATCCAACGAAGTTGGAGTTTGCCAAAGCCAACGGTAAAACACGCGCAGACTTCGAGCGGGGGCGGATCCTTGTTCGATCGTGAGAGTTTGACAGAGACTTAGCGTGCAATGCCAGCAATGGGCATGGAGGTAAATATCACCCACCCCTGGTTGCCTCATGGAGGATTGTTGATGCTTGCACTGCTTGCTTAGAACGATACCTTGAGTAAGCCAATATAACGCATTTCAATCGTGTAGTTGGCCACCAAGATCACTAAGGTTACTGGACGACATTGCTTGGTCTCTTGCGGAGACGGATGGAACGGTGGTTACGAGGCCTTGGTTTGCCAGGCGCGGGGTACTGTCGCATTCAAGCCGACCAAGCTTGGTATTTGCCTTACGCATCGAGCATCCGCCAATTTGAGGCGACTGCTGCACCACTCCCGGCAAGCCAGAAAGCTTGACAAGTGGATGTTGCAACAGCTTGTTGCTGCGGAACCGATGTCAAAGCTGAGCTGGACAGCATTTCTCAACAGCTATCTATAGGCACCTGTTGCAAATGCAAGAATGGTGAAAGTGTAGCTGGAACAGAGCAACTGTTCGACCTGATTCAAACAAGCTGTAACAAGAAAACCAGACGTCCGGGACCCCGGTACTTCGTTGAAGCTGTTGTACCAGGACGTCAAGGAGAGGAAGGGCAAGCACCATGACAAATAACACAGAAGCAGGGAAGACGACTGAATGACCAACTCGCGATTGAGGAAGACCGACTTTAGTCAACAACAACACGCAGCAGGACGGACTGGCAAAGAACTTAAGCGACTGGGGGATCCGCCGATTTGTAGCTCAGCCCATGGCTCATTCCAACGCTGTGCGAGGAGTCTCTGCGCCGCGCGGGCGTGACAGACGCTGTGCGTCCGGCCGTTCAATTCAATTGACGGCTTTCCAGGAGCCCTCTCTGATTTGGGCTGAAGCTAAACGTGACATAGATGAAATTATACAATGAAACCGCTTCCCACCTTGAACTCAGCCTGCTGTGATTGCACGGGCGTTCCACCTCGAAGCTTGATGACCAGAAAACTGGCGTGGCCGGTGGATGGGCGCACACCAGACCATGGTGTGCGAAGGCAGCGCCATCCTGCTATGTTGTGTAGTCTTGCCATCCGCCTTCGCCGCAATTGACTGGCATATCCGCTGATTTGTAGCTCTCCCCATGTCTGCACGTGCTCTGCTGTAGTGAGCCGCAATGATAGCGCACATGTCGCGGTGAACGGCAAGCACGCATCCTTTACAAGCCAACCTTGTTGGCACTTGAGGGAGGACTGTTGCAGAGACACCGACCTCGACACAAGCAGCATGCTGTCCTGCCCTGAAGCGTACTTCTCAGCAGCCGGCCAGAGTTTCTCAGCCGACTCTCGAGTATGTCTCGTAGGCAACCGCGCTGTACTCAAGGTACATGGCTTGGTCATCAAAGTGCATAACTTGATCAGAAGATCCTTGGGTGGCTTTGCATAGTTTTGGCATTTTGCCACTACTTTGCGATTGCCATCTGCCAGCAAAGGACATGTCGGCTTAAGCCTTTTTTGTTCAGCCGCCGACCGCAAATGACTTGCTCCGTGGGAAACACCTGATTATGTCGTGCTGTCGCTAGAACATGGCGCTGTGTTGAGGTGTGCTGAAGATGGCTTTTTTGGGGCAATACATTTTGCGCAGCCTCGTCAGGCTTGGCAAGGCCGCTTGTGGTTCCAAACTCATTTCTATATCTATATGGACTATATCTCTATGTCCACTAGTCTTTGCTAGCAACACAAGAAGTGCCAACAAAGCCCAACTGATCGCTTGCACCAAAAGGAGTAGCTACGAGCCTTCGTGCAGGAAGGTTTGGGCCCCAAGACAGTGTCGAGGAAGGCAGACTCTGGAGGAGAGCAGATTCTTTGGCCTAGCAGCAAGACGCGCCATTCGCAAACGCGTGTGCATGTGCAGCGGCAAATTTGGTTTCATGCGGACACCCCACATGAGTCAACTCAATCAGAAAAACCCTTGGCCGCTTAGTGCGTGCCAGCCGAAGGACACTGCACCAAAACACCAACAGAATGCCAGATGAGTGCAGATGGCTCAACAGCACGGCAGGAACCCGAGCAAGTGATGCCGGGTTGCCGTGTAGCTATGCGGACCTCACGAAGATGTTCAGGACAGCCATAAATCTGAAGGCTTTCAGACGCGAGTGATTTTGTTAGTCACGCGGGACAGGGAGGCGCTTTGCGAAGTCAGCACCAGAGGCTACACATAGCTATCTGCAGAAACGTCACGCCGTCATCCAACAACTTTGAAGATTGAAAACTGCCTTTTGCTCTGTTGCGTTTCGACGAACTGCTTGCAAGTTATCGTGGGCAAAAATTGGCCCGTTCAGAAATCATCCTGATTCTAGAACTTGACCTGGCTCACCCAGCATCAGCAGCGCTGCGAATTGCAATCAGCTTTCCTGTGTTTGGGCATATGCAGACAAAGCTTGTCAGTGAGTCCAATGCAGCATCAAGCAACATACAAAGCTGTTGCGATAGCTGCTGGCTCGCAAGGAGACTTGTGTAAACCTACCAGCTTGGTCATTTGGTATTTGCAAAACAACTTGGTTGTTCTTTCAGGTCGTGCATGGCCCGACTTCGTATTGAAGAGGCAGGAAGTTTGTTCTCTTGACGCCGCAGGCCAACGGGGAGCTTGCTGGACAGTATCCTACCTGCACAAGAACAACTACCACCGTCACCTCAACAAGCAGCCTGATGGCATATCAATTGATTGTTGATGATATTTAGCTGTATGCTAGTTTTGCAGTTCTAAGTGTGAATGGGGTATGGACCAGGTGCATGTGCCACCAAACCAGACACATTTGAAGCTTTGATGGAATGTACGCAAGTATGTGTTTTACTTGATACGACCTGATGCGATTGTCTCTTACGTACAATTGTGCGATTGAGAAACGGATGCTTGTCTTAGCAGGTGTGCACAAATGCTTTGTTCCTGGAAGTATCCTGCTGTGACAATTTGACCCCCAACACGACAATTGGATGATATTGCTGGTGCATGTTGATTGTTTTCATGCAGCCTTCTTCTTGACACTGCGCTATTGTTACCCTGCCTTGCAAATGCCAAACAAGGAACCCAGACCACAACTGCGCCGTACCTACATGTGGAAGAGGCGACAGGACACCTGATCTTCCTGAGCCTTGCCTGCACACGTAAAATCCACGTCAACCAGCAAGGTCAATTATTCTGTCATGACATGCTTGACTTCTTGACTTTAGCATGGTTTGGCTCCTGGATGCAATGCATGGAGTGGTGCTGTCATTACCACACGGTGTGATGGACGGTCTGACACGTAAGGAGTACATCAACACTTCTTCAGGACTGAATGTGGCGACAATTAGGCGGTTGAATGAATTGCAGCAACGCCTGTCCAAATGGGTGTCAGCATGTTGTGTCAAGAAGTAATAAGACATTCTGCAAGTGTGTAGAACCAGCGACCTTTGCTTCCAGGATACCATGAACGAGACGATTGCCGAGCAAGCATTCAGGCGAGCATTGTCTACGTTTTTGGACAACGCCACTGCATATGAGATCAACATCACGTCCATCCAGATCCAGCTTGAGCCTTCGCAGCAAACGCAACCAACTCAACATACTTGCGGCGCGAAGACACAGCCTGTGCGCAGATAAAAATGGAAGTCGATGTGTACTATGAATCAAATGAACCAAGATGTAGAGAAACATTTATTTTGCAAGCAGGTGTCAGCAACACGCGTCATGTGCTCTTGCTTCTGACCAGGATGTGGAGATCCACTTTACGCTGTTGCTTCTTGGAAAGCAGATGCCCGAAGCACCGGAAGTGCCGAAATGGCTCATGACCAGTGGGACATGGAACATGTCCCATAGACGCCCATAGATTCCATGACAACTTTCTAGCTTAGCTCTTGAGGCCATTGCTCGAGTTTCAACGGGCGATGGCCATGGTGCGCACGGTGCGCGTGGTGCCAAGGCTCTGGGCCAGCAACTCCACAGAGGCCCGGGAGTTGCTGCGGGAGCTGCTCTCAGCGACCGAGGAGAGCTGGGTACAGCCAATGCAGGCGGAGCGGCGTTGCAACTGAGTCCCAACCGGGCCACCTCCACGATGTCAATATATGTTAATCATGTTCTATTATGTTTCTTGACTCAGATATTGAATGCGTGTTGGAGAAGCTGCCTGAAAGAAGAGTCACAAGTCTTGGCTGGCCGCTTGGAGTAAATGCAACAATCCTGGCGAGTAAGACTCGTGGAGTTACGTCATGGACAGGCAGCCTTGAACAAGGAGTCATCGACACAGCAGCCCGGCGCATGTGTCTTTCAGGTGCTATCGCACATCGAAGGTCAGCGATGTTGAAACTATTTGTGCAATGTGGTGACCTTGTGGCGCATCCAAGGTACGACGACATTTCCGTAACAGCATATCTCGTGAACCTTGAGTCAGATCCAGTAGATTCTTCCGAGCCGCCCAACTCTGGATCCTCGGCAGAATGGAAGCACGAGGCATGCAGAGACACTGAAGCTGTAGAGGTGAAGGCCATCACACCTTTCTGTGGGCACCTCGTAAACGGATTGGCAAATGCCGAGCTGGCCTTCCACTGGCCCAGTGTGAACCACTTCGCAGTGGGGCACTTCCATGTATCAATGGGTTGCGAAATGTTGCGAAACACTTGTCAGACAATTGGACGCACTTGCACAGACAATTGCATGTCTTCCATACCGAGAACAGACATGCAAGCTGTCAAGGCCCGGATCCGATCTTACTGGCTGCGATGCTGGGACTCCTATTCGCGTTGCTGCCGGGTTGCCCAGAGCGCTTGTCATGTGACTGGCCTCATGGCAATGCCCTCAGTCATCAGACGATTGTAACGTAACGCAACGTGACGTGATGAGATGTTGATATGATGAAATGGAATGGCATGTAATGGCATGCAGTCGGTTGATTTAATGTATGATATAACGGAACGTATTCATGGAACATTTAATGTAGTTTCATGTGTTGCGACGCGATGTGACATGATGTGGTAGAGTGTTTTGTGATCTGATGTCCTGCACTGCGATGCAGCGCGAGGCAACGTACCGGCATGTAATGTATGTATTGGTGTACATGTATCGTGGTGTAAGAAAATGAGAGTGATGTTCTTGTTCCTAGCGGGCCAAAAGCAGGCCTGCAATCGGAGCCAACAGCTGCACGATGAGGGGACGCCAGCTGTTTAACTCTGACGACAACTGGGGTCAAGTCACAGGGAGCGCAGCATGCGCAGCACCACGCTTCTCTCTTGTGCAGCGGATTAGTGGTCTTGAGTTTGCAGGCAGAATGCTGCGGAGTACCAAGCTTCTCGGCCCTTGCCGCTACCAAGTATCACGGGACCATTCGCAGCCCGCTCAAAAACGGCACGTTGCGTCTTTGAAGCTGAGGGGTGATTTTGCGTCTGAAGTCAAGTTGGTGCAACTTTCCAAGCTTGGGATAGCAACGCAGGAGGCAACACAAAGGTTGGCAGGCAGAGTGGGCAATTTCCTTTACCGCCTCTGCGTGCCTGCCGTTGGAGACGTCTGTGAACTCAACTGGGGCATCCCCGAACCCGGCCAATCTTCCTCTCGACTTATAGGAAGCTGACCCAGCCCTGGTCATGACACGACATGCCGCCAGATCCCTACAGCTGCGCAGCGGCGCGCGCGTGAACACGTCGCTTGGAGACGCATGCTCTATGGTCTTTGAGGGCAGAGGCGGTACAAAGGCAGTTCTCAGCAGTTCGAGCAGCAACCAACAAGCAAGTGGCCCGCGCTGAGCACCAACGCTGTCGACCGCCAGCGAAGGCTGGCACCTGTACTCTTTCTGAAGATGTACTCGTAGCTGGGTTTTTGTCGCAAAGCATGTATTTTTCAAGCAGAAGCGCATGTTGAGCCAGCCCTTGGGCCCCGACGCAAGGCTCCACAGGCAGCGGCAGTGCAGTTGCCTGCTGGCAAAAACTTGGTGTTAAGAAGGAGGTTCACACGGTTGGGCCTTCCCCACTTTCGCCATGAAGAGAAACCGATGTCGTGCTAGATCTTCACGGCGCGCCAAAGAACACTGACAATGATGTCCCTCTCACGGCGTCGGGCTGTAAAGTCATGTTGCAGCCTCCGGTTGCAGAGCCGTTTTGTGGCGAGCTTCTGGCTTTGTTTACGGCCTTAGCCTTGCTTGCCATTTTGATTTGGGCAGAGCTTCTCCAGCTGGACAAAGTCCCTCGAAGCTGGCTGCGAGATGGCCTGACTCGTAGCGATGGGCACTCTCAGCCGACTTCTATGGCCTTGCGCATGGCTTGTCTTCTTTCGGCCTCCCTCGGCTGTCACAATCGAACAGCAGCTCTTGCACCTCGTCCGGAAGCGCGCAGCTCTGCGAAGACTTGAGATTTGCCGCCCCGCGCGCTCAACCAGGCTTTGGAGAAAGACAAATCTCCTTCCACGCTTCCGCGCCGCCAAAGAAAATCAATCAAATGTCCGACGCAAATGCTCAGGAAGGGAATGCTCCACGCTTTGCGGAAGCCCCAGGTAGTACAAAGCCACCCGCTGCAGCAAGGGTCGCGAGAGAACCGCTGGCGACTCCAGGCGACCGTTCGGCCCGTGCCAGTTTTGAGCCCACGGCTGCAGAGCGACAAGAATCGCATCATGACATCATGACATTGCACTGCATCAGATCGCATTGCATTATGCATTACAGTATTGCCTTGCGCTCGAGGAGCCTTGCTTCAGCAACTCAGACAAGCTCAGTTGCCTCCTGAGCGCCTGTTGTCTTGCAGTGACTCCCCTGATTGTGGGGAGCGGCGCGTAGTTGGCATCAGCAAGGAAGCTAAACAGCTGAGCGGCCCCTCATGCAGTTCCAGCTGAATTGCGGACTTGCTTGGCCCGCTAGGAACAAGAATGTCACGCTCACTCTCGCCTTGCGCCTATGAGCCTTGCTTCAGCAACTCAGACAAACTCAATTGCTTCCAGCGCGCCATTTTGAAAAAACTCACTTGGTGGCAGACTTCACTCACGTCCACTGCCTGCAGACAAGGACGGAAAAGACCACCTCAGGCAAGTTTGGTAAATTCGAAAAGATTCCACGCACTAAAACGACTGGCAATGAGACATCGCTGCAAGATCTCATGTTTAGACAACATGCTTCTTTTTGGTGCGCAAGAGACAACGCCAGCGGCACCATGGCTGGCAGTTCCGGCACCTTTAACAGCAGCGTGCAGGCGAGCTCTGTCGAGCAACGCTGCAGCTCCCCGAGATTGCTTTTGCGTCGAGGACAACAATCCTCTTACGGTGGGCTGGCGAACGCAAGATCCACTTTGGCGCAAAGAACAGGCCGCTCGCTTCCTAAATTCGCCTTCCACCTGGCCTCGGCGCTGACTGCTGTGTGAAATTGCCACTTGTGAAAAGGAAGCACAGTTGGGACCCTCCTCCGGAATGCACAAAGTCGTTGCGCCTTTTGGCAAGCAAACTTATTTGGCAAGACTAGGCAAACACGACAAGAACTTCTTCTCAAACTTTTCGACTCCGTAAATCCGAAACTCTGTGTGCTGCTTTCTTGCGGACGCGGGGAGCGGCAGGCAATCGTGCAACATCCGCGTTTTCCTTGGGCTAGCCATGGCTAGCCGGTTTCTGCGGACTTAGACTTTCGATGTGTGGGCTTTTAGGAATCTAAGAACCCATTCTCCTCATAGGCTTGGCCCCTACCGGCTATGAAGTTGCGGCTGCTCACACCTGCTTCAAAGTTATCAAGAAATTCAAGCCACCTTCCGTCCCGATCTTTGCGCTGACTTGGCCCAGTGCCTGCTTCCAGCCTTTTGCTTGGCTGACTTGTGCGAACATCCTGTTCTGAGCGCACGGCCCACGGCGTCGCCTTTGGCACCTTCTTCTGGAGTGTTCGATGCACGACTCACGGCGTCGCCTTGAGTGGCTTCAGCTGGAGCAATGTACTGTTGGGTTGTGTAACTAAATGTAACTTGATACAACTAAATGTAGTTCATGCACTGTAGACAATGTGGTATCCACGTTGTGCGAGGTTGCATGGCCACTGTGTCACATTTGAAGAAGTCTTAGCGCAGAAGCTTCTCTTCTGTTGCTGGTGGCTTTGAGGTATTTGCTTTGATCGCGGGAGCGCATACACACGAAACCTCCGCTGCTAGGCTGATATGTGCAGCTGCCGCGTGGCAACTCAGGCTCGGCTGTACGCCACCAAATGGCTACCGGATACCCCACTGGAACCCCAAGAAGATATTCGAAGGCATTGTCCAGTGGATACCCGAACGGAGGCCACTCACAGCCCATAATGTTTTGCAATGAAAGACTTGACATAGGTGTTGCAGTACGGTATGAGCTAATCTGAAGCATGTTATTTCTAGCCCGCTCCGTTGTTGGACAGTTTGATGCGTTTGCCAAGGGCAGACATGGTTGGAACTTGACATGTAGTTCCATCAAATGAATGTACTGTATCAACATTCCAGAAGCACAGGTTCTTGCAGGTGCCATGAAGACATTAGGTCGCAGTACGGCGTGCGGGCGCCCTGTGAGGGTTGGTCTTTCAAGGGCAGTCAATGTGGCGACCCTGAATCAACTCTGAACCATGACACATCTTCCCAACCGTATACAAACCCAGCAAACCCATTCTGAGGCAAGCGCTGACTGAAAACCAAGCCCCTGGTATACTCATCCTAATTTCAACCTAGTCCACCCTACTGCAAGCCGAAACCAATCTAGATCCACCAATAACCTAGAACCACCTGAGCATTTCCAACTTGTAAAGTGCTTTGACGTTGTTGCTGGCGCAAGAAGAGCCCAACCTGGCGCAATTGGCGCTGAATTGCTTGAAGCTTAACGATCACATGGCATTGCATGCGACTCTGGATTAAGTCACAACGTTCGAAGCACCACCATCGGCTTGCCATTGCGAAGTTTTTCCGTACGTTCGCTGATGAAAGAGGCAACACTTATCACAGGCGAAAGGCACAATCAAGTCATTGGTCGATGTACGGCGGGCACCCGATGTAGAGTTGAAATGCCGTCGAATGTTTGCTGCGCAGTTCGACCCGGTTCATCTCCGGACTTGCTTGAGCGTGGTTGAATAAAATCTGTTGACCATTGGTTGTTTTCCTGCACCGCATACGACATGATGTCCATTGTCCACGTGTGCTTCCGTGCCGGCAATGTGTGGAGCCACTTGCGTTCCCCTTGCAAACTTCTTGATGCAAGTACCTTGTTGCACATAGGACTGTACTAAGTCAACCACAGCACATTCCCCTATTTCAAGTCACACGCGCACACTTTTCAACTTCCAGCTTTGAAGCTTGGGAAATCTGGGCAAACTACACGACTCAAACAGTTTCTTGCCCAGAATTAGTTCCCCTTTTGTATTGTTTACTTTTTTGGGGTGTTTTCCACAAACCAGGCAAACATATAACAAGCAGCTGCTCTTGTGCCATTTCTACGACAAATCTGAGCACCTTTGTTTCACGTCCTTGTTTTCCTTCTTTTCCTCCAGGAAGCGGAGGAGGATGCGCTACGCAGCTGATGATACTACACCGAAGAGTTGCTCGGATGTCTTGAGACTGGGAGAGCACATCCTGTGCACAAACATTAGCCAAGGCCGTTTGAGTGGGGAGTTGGGCATCATGCCGCTCGCCACAGAGGACTGCGGCTCTCACACCGCTAATGGCATATTGAATTGGCCATGGATTCGTGAAGGACGTCTTGACCAGCGCGAGTGGATTTGCACAGGACCTTTCGAAACATTTGTGCGCAGGACAGTCACCGACCACCTTCTGGCACTTCCTCTCCAAGGCATAGACATGGAGCTTCTCAATGCAGTTGTTGAAATGGATCTTGGCTGTTGCATTGTTGTCCAGTTGTGTTGGTAACTTGGTCAACACCTTGCAAAAAGGTGTCTCTCAGCTTGAGAATACTATTCATCTTGCTCATAGAAACAGCGGCATTATCAACCAACTCTGGCACATCCCTTGTTGCATCCTTGGCTGATGTGCTTTGAGGTGTAGCTTGCTTGACACTATCTTGCAAGGTCGCACTGGGAAAAGGGTCGAGGGACTTGCTTGGCATATGGCATTTGAAGTTGGTACGGGCTCAACCAGAGTTCAAAACTTTATTTTCTGCAAGCTCAGGCGCCAGGGCACCGCCAAAGATTCCAGCGACGACCTGAGCAACCCGTCTAAGAAGTCTTACTCGCCCCTTGCAGTGAGTCGAGAGGCGGTCTCGAATTTCTCATTGGCGGGTACATGCACTCCATAATTATGTCAGCGGTTGTTGGCTGCAGTTTGGCCCGAAATGGTGAGCGACTGGTGAACTAGACGTTTTGCAGAATTGGAATGCCTCGCATTCTTCTCTGAGAATGCGGAAAAGTGCCTCGTTCGTTTGAAGGACTTCCTGACGTTCAGAGGCCCCGATTTGTTGACGCGAGACCGGGCCCAAGGCATGGGGATCACGCCTTCGAGCCCCGAGCTTCAGATGAGACTTGACAGCTCTCAGCGCGCGAGATTTACCCCAACTGAGCGGCCGCCACAGTCCTGCTGAGAAGGTCAGACTGTAACAACTAGTCACGTAGTATGTTTGAATCTGAAGTTAGAACGTGAGTATAAGGGTGTGTATTTGAGGGTAGCCGTTTCGTTTTCTTTTCTTTTTTAAGGGATCCAAGAGGAGACCAAGCGTTGCAGGGGTTGCCCTAGTTTAAGGCCCATAGAAGCACATGCCCTATAATAGGCGCAAGAGCTATGCATTTTTGCGCAAAGAGGAGATTGCCTTCCAGGCAGTATTAGTGACTCAGGAATGAAGAGGTGAGGATTGTCCGCACCAACACATCGAAGCTTGGCAGAACTCGTCCAGTCGGACCGCCTTGCTTCATGGAGTGAGCCAACAATCACGCTCGAGGCACAATGTACAAAATTACGGACAGAAAGACAAATAGAAAAAGCAAGAAAAGGTAAACAGATTAGTAGATGGATGGATAGATCGATAGCAAGATTAGATACAAGGATGAATGGACAAATGTACCGGCGGTGCATGAACAGCTAGACACGATCTGTCTATCTATCTAGTTAGCTATCTACTTATCTATCTAACCGTTTCTCTAGCTGTCTACCTCTCCATAACCAATCGATCGATCGATCGATCAATCAATCAATCAATCAATCAATCAATCAATCAATCAATCAATCAATCAATCAATCAATCAATCAGTCAACTGAATTCACAAGTAACTCAACCAATGTTGTTTGCCTGCCTACCTCTCTATCTTTCTATCTACCTTTCTACCTGTCTACTGATCTACCTTCCTATCTATCATTACGCGGATGGATAGATAGAGAGATTTTTAGATACCCAAATAGATTGACAGATATGTAGATAAAGGGAGAGATAGACAGACAGATTAGATAGGGGTGCTATATTATTTAGGGAATGTTCATCCCGCTGGATTGGGTTGTTTTCTTGCAATCCCCTGGCAAGCAAGCAAGCAAGCAATGAAGCACCCTGAACCCCCCCCCCGTGTACCGTAAACACAAAACCACCTACCCTACACCCGCCCCGACCCACCTCAGACCTACCTTAAACCCCACCCCCAAAGCTACGCCAAGCCCACGCTAAACCAAGCCTAAACCCACTTCAACCCACCCTCACCCCAAGCCTACCCAAAACCTACCCTTAACCACCCTAAACATACCAAACGTGCCTTGAATTCACTAAGCCCAGCTGTATCCTGAACTCAACCAACCCAACCCACCCAACCAACCCAAGCTCCATTTGAACCCACCCTAAGACAAATCCTAAAGCGACCCACCCTAAAGCCCGCAAACACACCCTAGACCAGCCTTAAGCCAATCCTAAACCTAACCATACACCCACCTACACACTAAACCCACAACCCTGAACCCCCAAACCCACCCGTACACCCACCCCAAACCTAACTTAAACCAAACCTGAACGGACCCCTAAGCCCACCCTACACCAACCAACGCACCCTGAACCTAAAACCAAACCTGGCCTAAACCAACCCTGAACACCCTAAACCACCCTGCAAGAGCCTAGATGGCTGCTACTCAGCTTCTTCAACAGCTGCTTTCATTCTCCTGTCCTGTTCACTAAGGCACCCGCCAAATATCCTCGTGAAGGTGGCGATTCATGCACCAAGGATGGTCTGGATGACGCTAACCCCGAATGCAAACCTACCCTAAACCCATCCCAAGCTTCTACCCTAAACCTGTCCTAAATCAATAACCTGCCCACCCCAAACCCATGCTCAACTTACCCAACTAAACCCATCCTAAACCTACCCTGAGCCTACCTTGAACCCACCTTGAGCCCCGTAAACCCTAACCCCAATCAACGCTGAACCCAACCCCAAACACCAGAACCACACTAACCAGCCTTGCTCCAACCTAAGCTCCATCTAACCCCAAACCCACCCTGAAGCCCACCCCAAGCCCACCCCAAGGCCACCCCAAACCCACCCCAAGCCCACCCCAAGCCCCCAAAAAACCTAGACCCACCAAAAACCACTCCAAAGGTGTCCGGAAAATGGAACGGATGATGTTTCCAAAAGCGCTGAAAAAAAAAGCGGGTCGGCCTTAGATAGGGCAGGTAGGTATATGGATGGATGGATGGATGGATGGATGGATAGATAGACAGACAGGAGATAGGTTGCATAAATAGATAGATAGATAGATAGATAGATAGATAGATAGATAGATACATAGATTGACCGATAAATACACACATAGGTAGGTAGATGGGTAGATAGACAGATAGATAGATGGATAGATAGATGTGATAAACGAGATACACCGACAAATTAACAAAAGATAAACATACAGATGAAGAGAAAGATAGAGAGAGAGAGAGGGACACAGAGAGGCACAGAAAGAGCAAGAAAAAGAGAGAGAGAGAGAGAGAGAGAGAGAGAGACGCACAGAGAGGCACAGATAAAGAGAAAGAGAAAGAGAAAGAGCGAGAGAGAGGGAGAGACACACACAGAGACGAACAGAGAGACAAAGAGAGGGAGACACAGAGAGGGAAGCAACAGAAAGGAAGTGGGGCAACCCAAAACACACACACACACAACTTCGTTAAAGCGGGGCCTGTGCTTGGTGTGACCCCTTGTTGAAGATTGCATGTTGTCGAGTTAGAGATGACTGTTAGACGTCTTCGTTTGTGGTCAAATAACTTGATGAGCAATCCAGCATCAACGTCGGCACGCGGCTGGCCATCAGCACGCACACGGTACTGCCCCGGCCGCACAAACATCATCAGCGCACAAAGTCTTGCACCTGCCACGCAAAGGAGCCAAAGTGTGTGCGAAGCAATTACTGTGTTTGCCACGCAACATTGAGCGGGTGAGTAAGTGTGTGAAGGTTAATGAGTGTAAGTTGAGTGGGCGAAGGAAAGAGTGCCAAGTTATTGGAGAGCGCGTAAGTAGGCGAAAGTTGGCAAGTGTAAGTTGAGTGAGTGAGAGCAGTGTGTGTAAGTTGGTGAGTTTAGGTTGAGTGAGCGAGAGCAAGTGCGCATGAGTGGAGTGAGTGAGAGTGGGAGCGGTTGAAAGTCAATGAGGGTAAGTTGAGAGAACGACAGCACGTATGCGGAAGTTAGTGAGCGCAAGTTGAGGTGCAAGCTGAGTGAGCGAGAGCGACTGTGTGTAAGCGAAATGAGTGAGGGTGAGACTGGTTGTGTAAGTTGAGTGAGTGTGAGTAGTTGTGTGTAAGCCAGTGAGTGTAGGTTGAGTGAGTGAGAGTAGGAGGCGGGCGAGGGGTGGGCGAAGGAGGAGGAAAGAGCGGCGCGGATGAACGGCGTTCAAAGTAAGAAGCCCGCGCACAAACACGGGGAAAGAAGAACAGAAAAGACGAAGGACAAGGAAAGAGAGAGCAAGAGAGAGAGAGAAAGAGAGAGAGAGAAAGAGAGATGAAAGAACAGAAACGAAAAGAAAGAAAGAAAGAAAGAAAGAAAGAAAGAATGAAAGCAGACAGAGAGACACATAAGAGACAAAGAGAGAAACAGAAGTTCGAGGAAGAGAAAGAGAAGAAGGAGAAGAAGAGAGAAAGAAGCGAGCGAGAGAGAGGGGCAAAGAAACAGAGAAAACGGAAAATCCAGAAAAGGGAAAGGGAACGAGAACGCGGCTTCGCCCGCTCAGGACGCGCGCTGCAAAGTTGCGCTGTTGGAGCTGGAGCAGCGGAAGCATACTTTGCGTACTGCATTTGCACTACACAGTTGCGCATGTTTAGCTGGATTTGCGAAAGTGTACTTCACACACTACGCTTGTGCTACAAAGTTACAATTTTCGAGCTAGAGCTGCGGAGGGCCGGAAGTGTACTCCGCGTACTAGAACCACAATCACGTTGGTGAGAAGCTTGATATGTAAAACCACGGTCTGGACCACAAATGAGTAAGAAAAACGGAGCACATTTCCTTGGTTTTCGGGGATCCCAGAGTTTTGGTCAGTCTTCTTGTAAGTAGGCCGCCGCTTGGAATTCGGCGTGTTCAGTTTGAACAAGCATGCGCGCAAGTCAAAACTGCAGTGTTCACAAGGTTCGCTCAAGTCGGATTTGCATCCCGAACAGCTTGGTGACTCGAAGCATCAGCGCCAGCATCAGTGCCATTGAAATATTTGGGGGGTTGTTGTTGGTTGCCCCAAAGGACGTACACGTTTTTTTTCTCCGTTTTGACTCGTAAGATTTCGCGCAAGTTCCGAGCAAGTATTTTGCAAGCGGAAGCGCAAGTCCGAGGTGCCTTCGTGACCGGTTTCCCTGCAGGCCCTTTTGCCATAGTGTTTTTTCAGCCCTACCTGCTGCTACGCGGCCATCTGCTATGCTTCTTTTGCTCCTGCCTGTTTTCCTTTTCTTCCTTGCTTTTTCCTTCCCTGCTTCTCTCCCTGCCTGTTTTCCAGCCGTCCTGTTTTCTCCTTTGCTGGCTTGCGTGCTGCAAGCTTCTGAGCTCTCAGGCATGCATGCTTACACAGTGGCCGCCTGTGAGGTTCCAATTTTGAGGCCCCAACTAGAGCACGCAACTTCTAAGAAGACCGCCGCTTGGACTTCAACGCATTTGAGTGTAGGGTAAGAACGTGAACACCTGGGTTTTTCGCCGCATCCAATTTTGTCAGCGGCCTTCCCCCGCGCTCATATGCTAGCCGTACTCCTTGCGTAACAGTTGTCAAGCTTGGGTCCACGTTGTGTCAAGAGACGCCTTTACACGTGCACGCATGTGAGGAATGCGAACGCCGAACCTTTTGCTTACGGTGTAGACCAAGAAGATGTCGATATTGACTGGCATCCTGACGGCAAGTAGCAAAGAGTCAGTGGAAGTAGGGATGACCGCCATGCACATGTCACGGGAGCTGCCAGGCTGCCTACCTGCACAGGAGCTTTGAAAACTGGTTCCACAGATGTTCAATGCCTCCTTCACCCCCATCAAGCGCATGCAGTTTATTGATTGCACGACAAGCGCGTGTGCAAGAAAACATGGGATGTCATGTCGCTTTGTTTTGACAGCCGTCCGTCAGACATGACACTTCGAGCCTTTGCTGAAACATTCTTCATGGCAGTGAACTGAAAATTACTTGATTGGACCAGGGCAATGTATAGGTGTAGTTTCTGGGGTTTCTTGAGGATGCAATCGGTATTTTACAAGACAACAAATAATTCACGCATGTACCCGAAGCTGCTTTGCCTCACTCTGCTCAGGTATATGTCGACACAGGTGCTTGAGGTAGATATGGAATCGGTGAACATCGAGCCTGAAGCTGCAATGGCGTGCAGGCATTCTTTACAAGGCGCCTGCACTTTCCTATGATAATTATCAAGTATCAGTCCCAGACTTGAGCTTATGAGTCGTTGTCGTTTTCTGTGTGCTAGTGCTAATTCCATTCTCCACCAGTCAATGTGGGTGAGGGTTATCACGCGCACACGCCACACACACACATCTCATATATGATCAAGCATTGTAGCCCATAATATGCCTTTGTGGCGTATCATGGCTTGCAGGCTTTGTAGCTTGCTTGACACGATCAAGCATTGGGTCTGCATGATTCTGAATGAGGCAGATATCCTGACAGCCGTGGGAAATTGCATGCATCAAGGCCAGTTCTTTCTGTTGGTCTTATCTCACCGTGCGCAGGCTCTTGTCGCACCAGTTTGCACTTGATGGACTCCAGAGTCTGGATTGACGTCCGGCTCTAGCATCGCAAGTCCTTGGCCCCATCTCTACAGCCGGTCTTTCCACAGCTAAAACGCACGGAAGTGACGTGAGTGGAAGTGTTCCTGGAAAAGTGCTCGGATGAATACATTCCCGAAACAAAGAAAGTCAAATATTTCTCCGTTGCTCAGCCGCAATGCTGTCTGCCAATGCTCATGGAACAATATTGAACTTCCTTGCTGGGCGGCTTGCTTAAGTTTTGCTTCCTGCTAGCTATCATGTGCGCTACTGGTCCAGGCGTCACAGCAACGCCTCTTTTCTGCAAGCTCTTATTTCTTGAGCTTTCGATCTTGAACGGCGGCAAAGCAGTTCAGCGCCTTTGGAAGAACACCCTTCTCAACAATCTGACTCAGCACGCAACAGTTCCGCTAACATGATGGGGCCACCTTCAGTACCTAGTTGTGACGTTGTGGCTTGCACTTTGTGTGCTTGCCAAGCGTTTTGCTGGGTATTTCGACCCCACGTCGCCAGCCATCACCGCCCCACCAGCGTCACATCGCGCCAGCTCCAAAGCGCCGCCTTTTGTCGCAGTAGATTTCAATAGAGTGACAAGGCCTATTCGATCACCACTTGCATTTTATATTGCGCGCTCAATTCATCCATACATAAAGCCAATAGGAAGTGTTAGCCACAATCAAAATCTGGGCAATTGACCTAGGTAAGGGACCTTCCCACCCGTCTATTTCTTTGCATAGATTTGTGTCGATCATATCAATGCCAGGTTACGAGTGTCTCATGTGGATCAGCCCAAGGGTTGTTGCATGGGGCTAGAAAGCAGAGAAGTTGAAGGATCCTGTGCCACCAAGGACGACTTCCTAGAAGCGACCAACTTCGAGGTGTGAGAGGTACTACTCCGTCCGTACTACTCCGTCCAAGTAGGCTTTTGTTGGATAGCCATGATAGCCCCAAAGTGGAAAGACAAGACCATGCGGCTGAGACCAATTCAAGCGCCCACAGAGTGGCAGCGTGGCTTGACACGCTGCCTAGCCGTTCGTGCCATGCCGATTGCGTCTTTCAGGGCTCCGCATCTTGTTTGCAAGAGCTTGGCCCAAGGCCACAATCGCAAACATCGGTGGTGTTTCGGGTTTTGCTTGCCAGCGTGATTTGTTCTCTAAGGGAAGCACGTGACGGCGTAATGATTCTCCTGCGAGAAAAAGACTGGACCACCTGGATGGAGGATGAATTGCAGCATGCTTCGGTTCAATGTGACTTGGCGATGACACAGTGAACTTGCAAAGATTTGACAACTTCAACTTGCTAGGGACTGAAGCTTTGCAGGTTGGGCCAACCAGTTCAGATGCTTCGCACTTGGCTCAAGAGCAGGCTCAAGGGTCACCAGAACTGCCAAGCCTGCAACCGTGTATTTCCACGATTCCACGTGCGAACACGGCTAGTGTTGATCCAAGCCAGTCAGGCTAGCGAAGCAACTTGGTGAGCTAGCAAGCTGGCATTGTCTTCAACTCATGATGAAAGCACGCATATGGCGCAAGTTCTTTGCAAGTCTGTGTTGGCGGCTTTCTGGTGTGAGGAGGAACAAAGCAAGGTTCCCCCGGCTCATGGAGAACGGTCCAGGACTCAATTCAGCAAATTGGACAGTCAATATTAGAATTGGCATCTCAACGCTCACCAGTTGATACGTGCAGATGAGGCAGCTGAATGATAGGTGTTCTTCAACGTAATTGCACGAGTCAAATTGCATCCATAAGTTCTGGGATCACAGTCATTGGCTTAGCATAATGAAATGTAGTAAGCGTTATTTCAACACTTTCCTTTACAGTATCATTGCCACGTACCGAGAGTGATTGCCCCATGCATACTGAATTCATACACCAGGAGAGGCCGCATGCGCCTCGTACTCGCCTTGGCCGCGGTTTGCCTCTTAGAGGCCAAACCGTGAACTTAGAGTGACTGGCAGCAATGGTCAAAAGACCCCTTCACTTGGGGTTATCAGGGTGTCATCCACCTGGTAGTGAGGATCCTTAATCACCATTGTGTTGATGCTGTTCAGGGAACCATGACAATAGACCACACAAGAAGTTTTGAACAGAATGGCTCAAATGCCGAGAATGCGGTTTGCTTGAAGGCATCTGGGAAGGGTGTGGGGATCTAATTCTTAACGCCGACGCGTGCCTGCCTATGCGTTTTGTGGATTACGGGGCAACGCTGAGAAGCTCTGGAAAGGAATTTCCCCCACACAACGTGCAAAACTTCTGGGCAAGAGCCGATGCGATCAAAGATCACGGGCCTTTGGATCGCATGGATCATTGAAGTCACGGTTTTGGTGCCGAAATTAGCCGTCATTACTTGAATAGCAACTGAGGTCCAGGGATGTGTCTTTTCGGCGCGCGCGCGCGCGCGCACTGCTTTTCTGCAAACATGTGCCATCTAAATTGGGTTCGAGATCGATTTTTAGACCCCTTAAGATCAATTTCGGGGGATGTTGTATGAGCCGCTGAAAGCCAAGTGTAGGCTGAGGATGGTAAGGGGTCCGATTCTTGGACCCATTAAGTGTCCGCTTTCGGCCGGGGAGATTGAGCCAAGAACAGGCAATGCCAATAATGCCAACAAGCCTGAAAGACGACAGTAGCCTAAGTAATGTAGAATGAACCAAAAACGCAAAACGCTGCAAATCGCACAAAATCAACACACACACACACATATCACATTTCGCCCTTGGGGGCGGGCTTTTTAGCACATCAAGCAACCTCCAAAACCCCTCCGCTTCAATTACCAATTTTGGGACTCCGCCGGTCACGCAAACCCCGATGTTTGGTCCCCATTTTGGCGATCCGGCCTGGTGAACACAAGCCCGGCGTCGCGTCGCTCCGCGTCGCCTTGTCGCCGGCCCAAGGGCCTCGGATACCGTGACAGAAAGTTTGGGTTCGAGTCGGTTCGAGTCGGTTCGAGTTCCCGAGTTCTCGAGTTCTCGAGTTCGGTCTTTGGAACTTTGGACCTCAGCTTTCAAGTCCCGGGGGCTAGGGATGTTGTAGCCAATTACAGGCGATGCCAAACACGTGGAAGGGTGTGATGTTTGACCCCCTGCAGTGTCGCACAACGCGAGCTGAAGGTGTCCCACATAATGCGCGAAGTCAGCTCTTTGACCAGCTGCCGCAGTATCTACCAAAAAGCCACCTCGGTAGGATTTGAACTTGTGGCCAGCACCTACTGCGCAACAGCACAAAACCATTACACAACCTCCAACCACCCGCTTCAATTGATCGCCTTGTGGACCCCATTTTCGCAATCCGCTGGTGTGGCGACGCTTCGCATCGCTCCCTTGATCTAACCAACTGAATGTTGCGCCCTTGCAGGCAGCCCCAGATCTTGCCGTGGTGCGGCCTTACGCCAGCCGGGAAGAGATTGAGGCGCAGGGCAATAAGCCACAGTGAGCCTTGCTTGCCTTGATGCACTTCGCATGCCCGGTCTTCAGGCCATGAGCCGAGCTTTCGGCATTTGGAACACCGCTTCTCCATGTGGCGACAAAGCTCTCGCCGAATTTGATTTGTTTCTCGTGTGCCTTCTCAGCAAGTCAAAGCTTCCTTGGAGACCAGGGAAGCCAGAAGCTGTTGTGTATCGTTGTGTTCTTGGCTCCGGGAGGTTGTTGCAGTACGGCCAAATCGACTGCTTTTTGGGCTTGTGGCGACTGCAAAAAGCACTCTTGAGATCTTGATGTGGGCTTAGCAGAACGTTTGCTGGCTGAGGTACAGCCGCCCTTTGGCCGCATTGGTGCAAGCCGCTATGAATCATTTCATTCATGCTACCCAGTTGTCTAAAGTCTTAAGACGCTGCGGACGCGCGTGTATGATGAGTGTACAAGGGCGGGCTTGCGAAGACGTGCGCACGCTTGCATGTTCATGGTTGGCGCGGGCAACAAGCAGGCCGGGCAAACAGAAGTAAGCAAGCACACATGTAAGAAAGAATTCGGCGGTGTCTCGGAGGTGTCCAGGCATCCCAGTTGTGTTTTGGTGGTGTCCCGCCAGCGTTTTCCTGGTGTCTTAGCCTTGTCCCTGTGTTTTAATCATTGGTGTCCAGGTTTTGGAAAATTTTGGAGGTGGTGTCCGGCTGGTGTTTTGGTGGTGGCGGCGCTGTCCAGCCAATGCGCAAGCAAGCTGACACCCTTCAACGAGCGGAGTTGCGAGAGAAAGAACTCTGGGATTGCGAGGTGAAGTCTGCCGGGTAATTTACTTCTGCTTACTGTATGTTGTGCGCTGTTGTTTTTGTTTCGCTTGTGTTTCCGTTTGTCGAGTTTGGTGCCATGGTGCTGTTTGTGTTGGTTATGTTGTTCTGCGTGTCTATGTGTCTCTGTGTGTGTGTGTGTGTGTGCGCGCGTGTGTGTGTGTGGGTGTGCGTGTGTTTGCGTGTCCGTGTGTTTGCGGTGTACTGCAGTACGTGGCATCTATAATCGTGTCACACAGTTGCTTGTAGGCGACGTGCGCGAATCAGAACTACGGTTTGTGTGTGTGTGTGGTGTGTGTGTGTAGAAACTATATATCTATACACCATAGTACACTGTATATATATATATATATATAGGTACATTGTAGATCAATAAATAAGCAGAGATCCATTCTGCCGAGGGTGCGCCACGAGTTGTTCAGCCTGGGGATACTCAGGTCGGTTGGATGCAAACTCTGCTGCCTTGATTGCAGCAGAGAGCATTCAGAATTCGTTTCGCATGAGGAGCGATCCCTGGCACAGGCTGGCGCACAGCGTGCAGTATGTTGATTGTTGTCAGGTGCATTTTGCCCAGCAACCGGGATCTCGACAACAGTGAGGTTGTATAAACCCTTGCATTTAGTTTGGGACACGGTATCCGATATCCCTTTGTTCCAAATCTGACCCATTTAGGCAGAACACAATAAAACGTTTTACACGGCTGCTTGAAAAGGAACCGCTCGAGCTGAAAGGTTGCGATGGTTGAGGTGGGGCTACCAAACTGTACTTTGTGAGCTACATGAGCACTGATAAGTTGATGTTCGAGTGGGAACGAGAAAGCGAGCTTCGCGTGCTAGACGCGTAATTTTCGAGCCGGCGCTGCCAAAGAAGCTCAGTACTTCGAGCGCTACAGAGTGAGAAGTTGTGATTCGTGAAACTGGAGCTGCTGTGATTTTGAAGCTTGAATGCGCAAAGGTTGGAAGAAAAACCAATCCCCGAATAGGGAAAGGGAACAGCACGTTGTGCAAATTACCTGGAGGGCACCAGAGTAGGTAGAATGCGGAGGCGCCTCACCAACTGACCCAAGCGCCAGGTGCTTTCGCAATTTGCACATCCAAGCCGCCAACCTCACTGCTGATGAGGACGTGAGCCTGTGGAGCTTGTTTGCGCGGTTGATCTCTGCAAGGAAATGCAGTTGCTTTTCTGGTCTGCTTTGAGGATGTGGACCCTCATACGCAGCGCAAATCAGAAGCTTGCACAAATGAATGCTCCCCGATTCGAGCAAATCCACAGTGTGCTCAGCTGAAGATTCCCAGTGAACTCTGCGGTACACAGTTCCAACCTGACATGCACATGAGAGGGCCTGGTCCAAGCATGTGTGCAGAGAACCCCACTCGCTGACAAGGCACCAGCAAGAAGAGCCAGTATGATTTGGAGTATATGAGTATATCATAAGTCATAAGCTAACAAACACCCTTGGTTTTGAGGCTAGGCGATGATTTCCATGCTGTTTCAAGCGACATGATGTTCAGCGGAGATGGCCAGCTATGCAAGATTTGCGGAATGAAGCCTAGACGTTCGCTCTGTATGCACAAGCGGCAACCGCGCTGATCCATCGTAGTATTGAACTTCTCATGCACAAAAACGTGCGACAAGTCAACAGAGAGTTATTCGCACACAACCGTTGGTTGGCAGCACAGGACGTCTACGACTCCCGTGGCTACGCAGTCAGGAAGGATTGGGTGAATGGGCCCAACAGAGTCTTCCGGTTCATTCTACGTGGCTTTCTGGATCAAAGCTTTGGCGATTACCATGCATTTTTCTTCATGGACACTTGGCCAGCAACGATGCTAGACTTGGAGGGTTCTTATCCTTTGGATTGGTATCCCGGGAAGCGATAGAAGGCAAACCGCGCCCTGATTTGTGTCAAGCAGTTCCCAGGAATTTGACTCTATTCCTCTTCGCTCCTTTTGGCTCGATCAGTTCCACGCCGAGGCAGGCTTGAGAATCTTGTGCGAAGGGACAGAACCGTGATTTGTCATTGAAGCTGTGAGACGAGAGCTTCAAGCGCAGGTAACATACTATCCTCGCACCGCCATCCGCGGCAGCCGCTATCGAGGCGACTCTTGGGACAACTTTCTGCATGCCATTCCAGCTCAGCAGCTTGGCCAAATGCATCAGTGATGGACCACATGTGGCTTGATATGAGGTTCTCACACGAAGCCAGTTCCTGAGTTGTGTTTGACAGGTTGCTGTATCACATCAACGGCAATGCCGTCTACTTTGTGAAACATCCCTGGCTGGTATTCCTCGAACAGCAATTGCAGGCGCGTATCGCCGGATCCCTTTGCCCGTCAAGGTGCCGAGAATTGGTGCAACACTTTACTTTCGAGACTCCGGCTCAGTCCGCCGACATTGCACCCCTGCGTGCCCTTTTAAGTTCCCCTGCGTTCAGCCGAGGCAGGGTTTTGCATTGCAGCGTCATGTCCCCCGATTTGCCTTTAGTTCCGTGCACTTTTCCTGCAGTACCGCTTTATTGTCGCTTTACTACCCCTTCAAATCCCACGCGGTTCCCCTTGACTTCCCCTTGATTTCCCCTTGATTTCCCTTCATTTCCCCTTCATTTCCCCTTCATTTCCCCTTCATCTCCTTTTTATGTCCCGTCATTTCCTATCATTTCCTCGTCATGGCCCCTCTCTTCATTGCTTGTTCCTTTTCCCTTCATTTCCCTTTCAGCTCCCCTTCGTTTCCCTTGCATTTCCCCTTGATTTCCTGTCATTGCCGCCTGTCCCCTGCATGTCCTTGCAGATCCCACTTCACCGTCATTTCCTGCCCCCTTTTATTTTCTCTGGATTTTCTTGCACTTCCCCTCCATTTCCCTTCGTTTCCCCCAAATTTCCTCGTCAGTCCCCCCTCACTACTTCCCTGCGCTGTTCTGCATTTCCACACATGTCCCCTGCATTTACTCTTCATGTCCGATTAATTTCTCTTCATTTTTCCTTCATTGCAACGGTTTCGCCAACAGGGTGCCCATCAAAAACCAGCGTTTTGCAGCCCTGAAGGAGGCCAATAGTACTCAACAAAATGGTAGTTTTCGACGTTTTCGCTGAACGGCGGTCGAAAAAAGCACTGTGTTTTCAATGTTTTCGGCAAAAGGAGGCAGAAGACCGGATTGCCACGTGGTACGTGCCCTCCCCCCTACAACCTTCGTTTGCCGAACATGTCGGGATTTTGGCACCCTTGTCCAAGCAGGTCTCCAACATTGCTGTGACCCCCTTTTACGCGGATTCAGGATCTGATCAAACTCGTTGCCCCGCCCTCTCTCTCTCTCTCGCTACTTCTCTGGCTCTCTGGCTCTCTCTCTTTCTCTCTTTCTCTCTTTCTCTCTTTCTCTCGTTGGCTGAGGCCCAGGAAATTTCATGAGCCTCCCCTAGAAGCACAATGAATCAGATAAGGTTTAATGAAGCCATGGTTATCATTGAATTCGGGACCTGTAGCCTCGATCGAGTACCGAATCAACCTTGGGGGGCGCTTTAGCTCTTTTTTCTTAATTGTTGTTTTCTTTTCAGGATTGAGTAGTATTGGCTAGTGCTACTTTGAACTAGCACTCGAACTCGGCTTTCCTAAAATCTTAATCCAAACTTCATCGCGCCATCAACGCTTCATCAAACTGCAACACTTCCATCAACGTCATCAAGCGTCCACAATCTATACACTTTATCAAGCTTCGTCAAAACTAACATCAGACATGACTCAAGCTTCATCACCGTAGTGCTGCTTGAGTTTAGCCCTCACTACTCGCGTGCTACTTAATTATTTCACCGCCACAATCTGCTGGAGACTAATTTAGCGAATTTAGTACTCGGTCGAGGCTACAGGCAAGTGATTGAGCAGCTCACAAATACTGACGCAAGATAGATTTTGAAGGACAGGGACCACTGTGTGCAGAGCAGGACATGCCCCGTCAACTTGAGTTCGGATTATGGCCTCCACACACCACGCTCTTACATTGAAACTGGCAGGAAGAGGCGAGCTCCGAGAATAGCAGCCTCTTGTCGTATCACGTTGGTGGCATCGGCGTACGGAAAAGAGTGTTTTGTGATCTCAAGCGCTGCATCTCAGGTGTAGCCTTCGACGTGCGTATGGCTGCACTGACGTTGGAGGCTCCGGCCTTCAAGCCAGAATTGGCCGCAGCCTGGGCGGCAAGTGTTCCGCCAGGACAGGGATGCACTGGGAGCGGGCAGACATGCAAATATGGATGGGAAGAAGTCTGTAGATGTTGGGCTAAACTTCACAGGAATAATGCTGAGGGATAATTCAATTATTCTTTGTAAGGTTGGACTCCCCTGTCGCCGACTGGGGCTTGGTGTTGAGGTTATTGCAAATGCAGATGAAGTTGGGCAACAAACATACGACACAAATGTTCGTTTGGTATTCCAGGCACGCGTTTTGTGCCGCGGAGGCCCCATGGAAACAAACCTGGTTCTGGGTAGGAACGTGTAGGCATTCCGCGTACGCCATTCCAACACTTTTGACGAAGTAGGCCCTCGTAGGCACCCTTCTACATGTTTGCACACCCGCGGACGCATCCGCGGAGGCATGCGTCCAGTGTACGTTATAAAAGAAAATCTACCCATTTGGTCTAATATGTTGCCCTGCGAAAGTTCAGCAATGGACCTTGCAAAAGCAACTGTTCTTTTGGCAGACGGTTTGTGAAATGAGTCCCGCAAAGATAGCGGAAGTTTAGCTTGTCCGCGGAGCAAGGAGTTTCAAACAACGGCCCCACTGCATATACGTATCTACATGCTTACCTACTTACATTCTACATACCTACATACCTACACGCCTACATGCCTACATAGGTACATGCCTACATGCCTACACGCATACATGCATGCTGCATACATGCATACATGCATGCATGCATGCATACACATATACATGCATACGTGCGTGCATACACATACACACATGCATACATACGTACGTACACACATGAATGCATACATGCATACATACATGCCATTTTATTGTATTACATTACTTCGCATTACATCATGTCACATCACATCGCATCACATTACACGCACACACACACAGTAATTGCATACATTGATTACATACATGAATTGTTATGAATTACACACACACACACATTTGTGCACGGACGTATGCACGCATGCACATTGTTCATTTATTCATGCATGGATTCATTCAGTCAGTCTTTCTTTCTTTCTTTCTTGTTTTCTTTCACATACAGATATACAGGCATACAGACATACAGACATACAGAGCTACAGAGCTACAGACATACAGACATACAGACATACAGACATGCATACATGCATACATGCATGCATACCTACCTGCGTGCGCAAGTAAGTGCGAACGTACGTGCGTGCGTCATGCATACATGCACACACACAGACACACACAGACACACACACACACACACACACACACACACACACACACACACACACACACACACACACACACACACACACACACACACACACACACACACACACACACACACACACACACACACACACACACACACACACACACACACACACACACACACACACACACACACACACACACACACACACACACACACACACACACACACACACACACACACACACACACACACACACACACACACACACACACACTACACACACACATACACACACACAGACACACGCACGCACATACATACACACATGCCCAGATACATGCACACTTCCACATATCAATACATCCATACATCAATACAGGCAAGGCGATGTATGTAATGCGATGGATGGAATGTAATATAATGTAACGTAGCGTAACGTAACGTAATGTAATGTAATGTGATGTTGTACGTTTTGCTACGCTATATGTATGTATGTATGTGCATACAGACGGGTTGGCAGGCAGACAGACAGACACATGGCAGCTGGCAGGGTCAAATCCAAGGTGTGTAGTGATCGTATTGTCAAGGGCACTCTGCATGGACAGGAGAGAACCCTTACAGCGATGACTCGTTGCTCGTTGGTAATTATGCCAACACACTGCTGAATGAAAGCTTTGATCCTGGCGTATTCGTGCCAAGCTCAGATGCCAGAGGGTTTGAGCGTTCTGCCCCTGGATCCAGTTGCAGCGTTGTTTGGTAAGGTGCGCCACGGAGCTTTAAGCAACATTCTGCAAAATATCAATGAATCCGTGATCACACTGGCTGTGCAATCATTCCATGAGCTGGAAGATTCGCTGCTTCTTCAGAGTCTACGCGAAGTGAACCATCCCTTTCGAGCCTTGGACCAAAGCAGATGAGTTGCAGAAAGATTTGTGGGGCTCCAGCTGAATCTGAGCAGCACCGGGTGCTTTTGGGAAGGCCCTTTCTGTTGGCCAGCCCAAATGGTGATGCGCAACTCGCGTCCATTCATGGTCCATTCATGAACTCAAAGCGGAAGCTGCCTACAACAGGAGAGATCATCATGCTGTCCTCAACTGCCTCTCCTACGCAGCAGATCCAGACAGTTTCAGGCGCTTGTGACGATGTGATCATTTTCAAAGCGGTGTCCCCCATGTTGAGGTGTTGAGACGTCTTGGGGCATGTTGTAGCAAGCAGCAACCTGCTGCAGGCGTTTCCAGGCTGCACTATCGAGTGCCCGCACGCGCTTCTGAACTTGCGCTCTGCGATTTGGCAGATGCAGTGGAGACACCATTTTTTGCGCCACCTGTCTTGAGGCGGACAAGCTGAGATCCCCGCCTTGCTTGTGTTGCCACGTGCCAGACATGTTGCTGTTATGCATTCGTTCAAGCAGTTGATTAAAATCTTCAAATCCTAATGGCTTTTAAGCCTGACAGTCTTAAATGACTTACAATCTTAACGTCTTAATGGCTGAACATCTGAACATCTGAACATGTTAATGGTTGGACGCCTAAAAACCTAAATGGATCCAAGAAATAAAAACGGCTTATATAAATATTAAAGTATTGGTGGCTGAAACTGTTGAAGTCTAAATGGCTTAAAGTCTTATCATTTCAATTTTTTAAAAGCTTAAGTGGCTTAAAATATTAAACTCTTGAAACCATTAAATATAAATGGCTTAAAGATTGGCATCTGAAAATCACAATGGCCGAACGTCATGGATGCCACAAGACACGAATAGGGAGCTTTCATCTGCCCCTCTTTGCTCCTGTTTTCTTGTCCAGGAATGTCATTCTGACAATGCTGAGGATGCAAAAGCGATGCTGGGGATGTTGGGCTAAATGCTGGGGATGTTGGAGAGTGGCCTGGGGAAAATCGAGCACCCCAAGGTTTTTTCGTAACCTCACCCCGCTCCCGGATTCAGCCGAAACGAACACGTCTTGCAATGCCCTCCCCCTCCTTTGGACATGTCGGCGGATTTCTGGAGGTGACCGGCGTGCATGAGTGCGTGGGGTGCGCGCGCGCGCCCCGCACGCACGCACGCGCGCCGCGCGCTTTCACTGCACGCATGCACGACGGAGCTGCAATCGCAGACTTAGGCCCACAGGCCTTTTGGTCCTAGCTAAGGTATTGCGTGCAAATGTTCCTATTTTGCAACAAGTTGTGGTAATGTACACTGGCACGCGCGACTCAATTCTTGTTGGATACCACGATTTGCCAGCTCATTTTGACACTCTCTGAATAAGGGCATGCCATATTTTGCCAATGAGCACATCCCTCTGCAAACACCCAGTGCGGGTCATTTTGCTGTTGGCAGAGTGCCGCTAGTTGCCATCGGGATATGCTGTACATAGATCTGGGTCGTCCTTGGTGTAAAAGTATGCGTACTGTTTCAAACAATGTGTAATTATAGGAAAGGCGTAGTGTCCACCTCTGATGAGCAAATAGAGCCCCACCCTCCCTCAACTCCCCTGAATAAAGTTAAACGATTGTTTTCAATCGTTTAGTATTCAAAGTGACATGTTTTGGAGTTGGGCAAATCAGGAAGCTTAGCAATACTACTTTTGAATTGCTTTGTACTGCGGCCAGGTTCGAGGAAGTCTGAAAATTATACTTTTTAATTGGTTTTGTATTTGGATCCATTTCCAGGAAGTGACCCAGATCAGTAGCTTTATTTAGGGCATGGTTTTGAAGAGGCTTCAAACAAAGAAAACATCAGGAGGCTGGACTCCACGATTTTGATATTCGGTTGCCATCATAAAGGGCAGCTGGCAATGGCAGCAACGATTGGAATCAACAGGGGGTAACAGCCACATTGTTTACAGGCAACACACTCTTAGCTTTATTTAGGGTATGGTGCATTTAGTGCAAATGACTTTTTGGGGGTGCCCTTGGCTGATTGTTGATTTTTGAGTAGGGTTTAAACAAGGACATCATCATGAACATGAACACCCATAAATTATGTTGTTTGTTGGCTTCTGGACTGGGTCTAAAAAATAGGGTGGGGGCATGGTCCAAAATTATTTAGGGGAACAAAACTTAACTTTGATTAGGGGTATTTTGTTGTTTGTTTTTCGGGCGTGCTTAGCTCTATTCAGTTGTTTTTTTCATAGGTGGACATTAAAGCGTTGTAAGTCTATGAGGAAGTTGGAGGCACGGAGGGCGGCAAGGTGCGGCACCGCAGCCGGAAAAGGTCAAATCCGCAAAAAAGCTGGCTCGGCACACGACAAGTTCGGATCAGCGTGCGAATCCCCCCCAAAATAAGCGTCACATAAGGGGGAAAAGCTCAGCCTGCCCCCCTATCCGCACAATCCGCGCTGATCCGCGTTGATCCGCGCTGTTTCCAATCAGTGCGGATCAGCGCGCTAAGAAATTTCTGGGCATCTGAGTGAAGGAAGATGAAGTCCTTAAAGCTATATTATATTGTCACATCGGAAATACACGTAAAATCACACACCGACACCGTGCCGAGCTTTTGTGGCACAATGGAAGCCGGCCGTGCTGCAACACGTTGGAGCCCATCTTTGGAGTTGACCAGCGATTCTGGGGTCATTTTTTTGCGGATGACTCTTATCCGCTACGTTTGCCAGGCTCCGTTCCGCATGTCTGGAGAGAATGACTTTTCCATGACTCACCCCCTTGCCACCCACCGAGCTGCAGAAAATTGCTGTTTCAGCCTGAAAAAGGCCTGAGGAAGTCATATAATAAGGCTTCTCTGGGGTAGACAATGCGTGTGTGTCTGTGTGTGGATGGTTGTCTCAGTGAACAATTGAATACAATAGCCACTGACAGGCAACGGTTTGGGTAGCTTTGCGCCACAGATGTTGGTGCTAGCGCTTGGCATGCATCTGAACTTGCACTCGTGAGTGTGCCAGTGTGCGCGCGCGGCATTTGTGAAGAGGACCAGCAAGGCAAAGAACCGTGTCAAATTGTAGGAATTAAGCCCATAGTGATGACGAAGCTATTGCAGTGGCCATACTTCAGCAGAAGTGAAGGTAACACATGACCACCTACGCGGCATGTTTTTAAACAATCAGACTATACTTGAGGGATTGACAGGATTATAATGAACATCTATATTGAAAGCTCAAAAGAGCCAGGTTCTAATACTTCAAGCAGCTTGACATGTGCAAGAGCGCACTGTCACAGCGTCCTGCTCACCTTTTTTTCTGAGGTTCACCGACACCTTCCACTTCGTTCCTGGCTCTACCTACGTCCTTACTGCGGACGGTCGTCCTGTGCTGCCATACATCCCGGCCATGTCTCAGTTTTGCACTGACTTCGCAGAGTGCGTCTCTTCCCTGGACCAGGCGCCGGGAGGTGGTAGGAGGTGGTAGGAGGCGGTAGGAGGTGGTGAGAGGTAGGAGGTGGTAGGAGGTGGTAGGAGGTGGTAGGAGGTGGTAGGAGGTGGTAGGAGGGGGTAGGAGGGGGTAGGAGGTGTTTGGGTTGAACCAAGTCCTTGCAGGCGGAGAGTTTTTTCGGCGTGCGGCTGAACTTCCACCATGACAAGTATGAGACACTCTTCGAGACAGAGCTGGTCATTGATGCCCGCAGCAAACAGGTTTAAGTTTGCACCTGTCCTTCGTTCACCGGCACCTGTTTTGCTTTCGATTGCTCGCAATCGACTGCAAGCAGAGCTCAGGAATTTTGTCAAACCTGGAGAGTCGCTGCAAGCGGCCTGGGCACACTGGAAGATTGTGACTATCAACATGGCCCAACGGCAGACGATTACATTGCTTGGCTTCTTAGGCTTGAGAAGTCAGCCCGACAACCGGACATGTGTAACCATTTTCTGGGCGGAGACTCGCGCATCGCTGGTTCCACTTAGCCTGTCTTGCTTTTTTGCGGACAGTTGGATTGCCGATGTCATGCACTTTCAGGCTGATCTCAGTTGACAAGAGCTTCAATTATGTGCCCAAGAACAAGGAACGGGTAGGCGCGAGAGCTGCTTTTGACTTTCCAGATCATGCCAATTATTTGTGTTTCAGATTGTGACGCGTAGCTGAGTCCTTGCCATTGAAATCCCCTGAAACTGCTGCATCTTGAAGGAGACATGCCACACATGTTCAAGAGACCGGGAAAGCTGTAAGCATGTCAATGTGCAGCCAGGCGCAAACAATGTTGCTTTCCATCAAGATATCAAGATGATGGGAATGCTCCCAGTCGCCAGGCTGGCGGCCATGGACGACTCTTTGGTCAGCGCCCCCTCCAGATGTTCGCAACTGCAGCATCTACAAGTCCGGCGATGCTTTGGAACGACAGCAAGGCATCAAGGAGCTGCATAAGATTGTCAAACTACATGCTTCACTTTGCACTTGTGTTGCATGTATGTTCACTACCGCAGGCCTTGAGCTTACTACTCCGCATGAGTAAAGAGGTTGGCAGCTGCAGACTTCATCGGTTGACTGTTTGTTTGAACACTACAGCACTTGCACTTGTAGGCAAAGTGCCAACTAAATTTAACGTGGTAGCGGAGCTGAGATCCTAAACATAGGGGAGCTCCAGTAAGCAGTAAGTGCTACAACCACAGCAACAGCAGTCACATGCCAAACTACTACGACATGTCAGGAGAAGCAGCATCAGCCTCAGCACAACAAACTACAGGAGCAGAGAACGGGCCAACAGCAGACACAGTAGGAGCCACAACTACGGGAGCAGGAACAGAACAAGACAGCGACGTTCAGAGACTACACAGATACAAACTGCCACCACCCTTCTTCACTGGTGACTACTCCCAGTATGAAGAATGGCTGTTCAAGCTACAAGCATACCTCGGCCTCATAGACCGAGACTTCGACCTGGTGCTACAACTAGCACAAGTGGCTACACGACAGATTGAGGACACAGACATCAGAACACACATACTCGACCCTACACAAGCAAGCAAAGCAGTAGACCTCTCCAGAGATCTACACTACATCATCAACATCTGTCAGGGAGCAGCAGCTACAGTAGTAAGGCAAAACCGCTACAACGCAAATGGATGTGAAACACTACGACTCCTACACAACAGGTTCAGCCTACCAGTAGGAACAAGAAGCGTTGGCTACCTTACCAAACTACTGGAACCTACATTCAACGAAGCACAGTTTGAAGAACAATTCCTACAATGGGAATACGACATCAACCGCTACGAGAAAGACAATGGAACAGCACTACAGTCAAGTAGGCTAGTCGCATCGATTTGGCTTGATTGTCTCCCTGCCGTTGGGGAAAGCATTGTAGCGGGGTCGCATCGATTCTTGAATTTAGGTTGCGTTTAGCATGTTTTTTCCCCCCTCAAGTCCTTTTAGAGCCAGCCCGCAAGCAACAGCAGCAGCAACAACCAGCAAGCCAATCAAACTTATAAGCAGAACACACCCATTCTTCGAACAGTGTTTCTTTTTTTTCATCAGAGCAGCTTGACAGATGCGTTTGCATTGTTTTGCGTGCATTTGCGGGACCTGTCGGTTGGGCCGCGTTTGGCTGCTTTTGGACCTCGTTTGAACCTCGTTTGGGCCTCGTTCGGGGCCTCGTGTATGTCCCCAAAACCAAGTTTGGTTCGTCTTTTCGCAGCATTTTCCCCAACATCGTTGGGTTTTCGTGCGGGAAGTCTTCTTGGAGTATGGTGGGCCTTGCTCCTGCCTTGCTCCTGGCTTGCCCCTGCTAGCCTTGCTCCTGGCTGCTGCCACATTGCAAGCGAATGGGCTTCGGCTGATTGCAGTGACAAGCAAGCCAGTGTAGATTGCGATTATTGGCATCAGACTTGCAGCGTGCTTCAAATGATGAAACGCCACCTAAACGGAGGTGATGTGACCCTGATGTGACCCGGTCGCATCGACTTTGTCTCATAGCAGTGAAACACATTTCAAAAAAGTTGATTTGCCTAGCCGTAGCCCATCCGACTGTACCAGATGGAATCAAAATAGCAATGCTACTCGACAAAACCAAAGGAGCACTGCAGCAACACCTCCAACTGCGAGCTGGACAGATCACGAACTACATCGAGATCAGAGCACTCATCTTGGACTACCACAAGACGATTTCAGCCTTCGCTAGATCTACTTCAGCAGTAGGAACAAACTACAATGGAGGAGCTGCACCAATGGATGTTGACAACATATGGAGGGAAGGAAGAAACTACAAAGGCAAAGGAAAAGGAAAAGGCAACTACAAGGGAAGCAAAAGCAAAGGCAAGTACAGGAGTAAAGGACACTACAAAGGATTCGACAAAGGCAACAAAGGAAACTACAACAAAGGAGGATACAACAAGAGCAAAAAAAATGGCTACTCAGGATCCAAAGGATATGGATCAAGCAAAGGCTACAAAGGCCAAGGAAACTACAGCAAATCAAAAGGAAAAGGAAACAACAACTACACAACATGCCATCGATGTGGCAAGCCTGGCCACTGGGCGCAAGACTGCAGAGTGCCAGTGTGGCACACAGGAGAAGGAGAAGAACTTAGAACAAGAACAAGCAGATCATGACAACAATGAAGAACTACATCAGGATGTGAACGACACCTGGGACTGGTACTACGAAGGAGAAGAAGGACAACACGAGGTGAACTACATGGAGGAGAACTGGAACGACTACGACTATGACAACAGCTGGGATTGGAATGACAACAGCTATGAGGACACAGCAAACTACATTGGAGGCATCAACGAGTCACACCTCACCATTGGACGCATCAGACAAGCAAAGTCACGACTACACAAGCACAAATCCAAATCACTACTTGGCAAAAGAACAACACACACAACATCATGGAACGACCACAGCAAGAGCTTTCAACAATTCTTACAAGAAGACACCACACAGCTACACTTAGACATAGCAGCAGCAAGACAACAACAAAGGAACAAGAAGATTGAGGACACTATCACACACTACACCGTGTACTCCAACTTCAAGTCATATCACCACCTGTTGATCGACTCAGGAGCATCTACACATGTTTGCCCGAAGGACTACGCGCCAGACCTCTACGACCTTGTGGAGAATCAGTTCCACAACTCTACACGGTTACCAACAAGAAGATGCCTGTCTACGGCATCAAGTACGTTCCCTACAAGCAGGACAACTTCAGGATCATGATACCCTACTACGTTTGTGATGTAAAGTATCCAATCCTCAGTGCATCAAGACTACTTGACAGAGGATATGGACTTGACTTCACTCCACGACACTGCACCATCGCACATGGACAACAACAAGCACACCTCATAAGACACTCAGGACTTTTCTACCTACGAGCAGAGAAGATCGACATCCCTACAGGATTCGACATCTACCCAATGACTACAGACAATGGAAAATCCATTGCTGTGATTCAACCTACAGAGAAAGCAGCACAACAACAAGAACAAATTGCACCACTCACCCACACAGACCAAGCACTACGACAGATCCTTGGTGGAAACACTGACTACTGGAAACTTGATGGTGATTACGCCATCAGAGTACACAAACGACCACGCAAAGCATTGTTCACACCACACAAGAGTGGTTGCCCACTACACTACAACGAAGACTAGACGGTGACAACTGGACTGGAGAAACCAGAAGAAAGATAACACCTACACGCAGAGCAACATCAAAGACCACACCAACAAGACAGAGCTCACAACCACAACGGCTAATGGACACACCGCCAACTAGATTAAAGATCCAACTACGAGCGCCGCAAAAGATATGGAGACCTAAAGCAGCACCTTCTACAAATCTTGACACCACACAACCAAAGGAGACAATGCACAGACCACTCACAGCACAGAAGGACAACCAAGACTACTGGGAAAGACAAGGTGAACACTGGATAAGACACCACACCACTTAGAACAACTCTCTTCACCCCAACAGATGGACCAGGACATCCACCAATCAGCGCACTCGAACCTCACAGAACTACAATCACTCACAACAACTTTGGAGAAGTTTCACAACGCAAAGATGACTGGACAGTCATGGGCAACGCAGCACTACCATTTCAATGGAAAGGAACAACAAGGTTCACCGTGAAGAAAGACTACGAGTACATCCAGGAGAACCACGATGAGGAACAACAACAGGAGCATCATGAAGCACACAGAGCAAGAGGACTACGACAACCACAGCAGCCCACTCCACGACAAATAGCAGAGCACAATCTTACACACCTACCACACAGAAACTGGTGTCCAATTTGCGTTCAAGGCAAAGGACGCCAAGACAATTACAAGAAACAACAATCACGACAACCTGTCATTCAAGTAGACTTCGCCTACATCAAATCACAACAAGACCCAAAGACCATACCAGTACTGACAGCAGCTGATGTTACTACACAACTGTGTATGGCAGTAATGGTCCCGGACAAACAATCAATGATGGACTACATGGTCAACAACCTACAAGCATTCATCTTTGAGCGCGGAAGAACACAAGGCATACTACAAAGCGACAACGAAGACACACTCACGCACTTCTTTCTAAAAGCTACAGCAGCAAAAGGCGGCTCAATGACTGTACGACACTCACCGTCATACAGCAGCAACAGTCAAGGAAGCGTTGAGCGACTACATAGAACACTCCTCGGACAAATCCGCATCGACAAAGCGCAGGTTGAGTCCACAAAGCACTGTCTACTACCTTGGATAGTACGACATGGACGGTAAATCGCTACGTCATCCACTCAGACGGCTACACAAGCTTTGAACGCCGCTGGGGAAGAAACTACGAGCGAGCAATCTGCGAGTTAGGCGAGACACTACTTTATCTTCCACCACAACACAAGAAATTTCCAAAAGCAGACCTACGGATGCAGAAATGCATCTGGCTCGGAAAAGTTTCCGAAACCGGAGAAAACTACGTCGCAACGGAATCAGGCGTACAAAAAGTACGAACAGCGCGGAGACTACAACCGGACTTCAAATACAACCTCGCACTGTCGAACAAAGTTTCCGGCGCACCACGGGCACCACGACAGAACACCTGCAACCCATCGTTCGCAACACTGTTGGATACGCAACTACAACCGTCAGAGAAAAGAAGGTCCACGCAAGATTTCGGACAACAGACGAACGCTACGGACGACATCGTTGCGGAACCCGCAACAAAACAACAACGCACTACCCACCTCCACGACTTCCGTCTACATCGACGTCAAGTTCACGACCACTACCGGCTAGTCCTATGGCTACTTCGCCAACCGGACGACAACATCCACCACTACCAGCACCACCTCGACAAACACTAAGACGTTTAACTCCGGAAGAAGTAATGCAGCCAACTAAAGCACAGAAGACCTCAAAGGACACTACAATAAGATCAACGGAGCAAGCAACCAAAGAACCACCACGACTACGGCAGAAAATCAACGCAGTGACACTTCCCAACGGAAAATCCATCACTCCCTACACAAACGACGACACCTCAGAAGACCAACCCATAATCTTCGACAACGAAGGTTACGACGAATCACAACTACTGGAAGGAATGAAACACGAGTCAAACCAAATGAAGCTACATGACGTCTACGACGAAGTAGATGCGTCTACCGTCGACGACAACGTCATCAGAGAAGCGATACCTACAAGATGGGTACACAGAAAGAAAGGGCCAGGAGTACGAAGCCGAATCGTCGCAAAAGGCTACACAGAGAAGATCAAGGACGAAGACTCCGTCTACGCCTCTACACCAATGTTCACGACACTCCGACACTTCTCGCACTACAAATGTCACGACCAAACTGGATCGCGCGACTAGGTGACGTCTCTACAGCATTTCTACACGCACCCAGCGCAAAAGACCACGACGGTAAACAACGTGACGTCTACCTTTGGCCACCTAAAGAACTTTGTCCACAACAGGACAAAATCTGGCGACTAAAGAAAGCCATGTATGGACTACGCAGTTCACCAAAAGCATGGCAGGACTACCTGGCTGAAGTGTTACAAAAGCTCAGCCTTGTAAGACTAAAGTCAGAACCTAACGTCTACACCAATGCGACCCGCGACTGCTACATCATGGTCTACTTGGACGATTGGAGACAAGACTGCGCTCGACTCCACTTTCGAGGCCGTCCAGATACTCAGGCACATCGGCTACCTCGAACCTGGCAAACCACAACAATTTCTTGGAAGAAACATCGACCACTTCGGCAGCTACTGCAACCTTGGACTAAAGGACTCCTACATCGACAACATGGTCGAGGAGTCTGGAATGAACAACTGCAACTCAGTGAACACTCCAGGAATTGCCCACTACAAACCAACAATAGAAGATGAAGCACTACTTGACCACGAACAACACAAAAGGTACAGAAGGATCGCTGGCAAACTTCAATGGTTAGCATACACACGACCAGACATTGCATACTCCACAAAAGAACTAGCGCGAGACCTCACAGCACCTACAGAACTTTCACAAAAGAGAGTCAAACATTTACTACGCTACTTGCACGGCACCAAGCGCTACAAATTCACCATAGAACCAACAACAACACTCAGAGCAAACACCAACAACATCCTGGATCTCGACGTTCATGTCGATGCCGACTGGGCAGGATGCCCTACTACCAGGAAATCAACTTCAGGTTTCAACATCATCTTTTAAGGAACAACAGGTGCATTTGGCAGCAGAACACAAGCTACAATAGCACTCAGCTCAGCAGAGTCTGAACTCTACGCCATCTGCACAGGAGTTAATGAGGGACTACACCTCAGAAACTTCCTACTTGAAACCAACATTTGCAGCAAGCTAAACCTACGCATCCACACAGACTCCACAACAGGCAAGAGCATTGCTACACGACAAGGCGCTAGCAAACGAGCAAAACACATCGACCTCAAATTTCTCTACACACAAGACCTCATCAAGCACGACATCATTAGAATCCTTAAGATCAACACACTCCACAACAGCGCAAATTTGTTTACCAAATACATCAGCAAAGAAACACTACACAGGCTCATCCAGAACATTGGGATACGCATTTAGCACTACGAACGACCAGCGCAGCAGTTTCACAACAACAACGACAACAACAACAATGACTTTGGACATTTCTTGTATGTAAGTAGCTACATGTAACACGACCGACACCTTTGGTATGTAAGTAACAGTAACTACATGCATTTTCACTTGCACTTTTGGCGGCTGAGTCAACACTACAGCTGTTTGTCTTACATGTCTGCAAGCGCCGCCTGCCTGATAGCAACTACTTAGGCTCATTTTGTTTTGCCCCGTTTCACTACATTTTGCATTCCACTGCAGCCATGGCCGCTCCATCTACTGCAGATGCTAGGACGGGAGACGCCACTACGCCCAACAGGGCAACTACGTGGCGGCGCCCGCCAATAGGGAACGTGAGCTGGGTTTAGACCGTCGTGAGACAGGTTAGTTTTACCCTACTGATGAATTTGATGCTGCGACAGTAATCGAGGTCAGTACAAGAGGAACACTTCGTTCAGACACCTGATTAATGCGGCTAGCTGAAAAGCTAATACCACGAAGCTATCATCTGCTGGATTACGACTGAACGCCTCTAAGTCGGCGTCACTACAGGCTCCAGTGACCACGGAACTCCACCACCTCAAACCTACAACGACTCCAACTACCACTTCAACCATTCTACACCTGGCAACACGGCCTACTACAACCCGACCACAGTGATGGACCAACTACACATCACTGCGCACCAGACAACCACTACACCACCACTGCCCGACAACACACCCTACACTCAGTATTTCACTGCACTCACACTTGAAGAACAACTGGACTACACGCGACCCATTCACTGCATCCGTGGAGGCCTTCGGATGCCCCACTACAACTCCACACTGCTCAGCGTTTCACTACCTGAAGCAGCCAACGTCCACTACTACCACGACTTCACTCCACACTACAACCGGCGACAACACCAACTACGTCATCATCCAACTCCAGATTGAACAACCACTACTCCTCACTTCAGGACAATTTCTACACTTCACAAGAGACTACATCTCCTACATGATGTCCACACAAAAGAACTACTACCTCCCGACTACACCAAAGCAAAACAGACCCACAAGGTGAACTACAACATGACCACCTTCACGGACAACTACAGCCTCAGGAACAACTACCTTTGGAACTACCACACGCCCCTACTACTACCTGAACTACTCCACTACCTTTACAACAGAGACCAACTACACGACTTTCAGCACAAGGCAATTACTACCATCCTTTGCAAGAGTATCCAGTACTACGGATTCACACCACTCACCATGACAAACCTCACTCAACATCACAAAGCACTACTACACCGCTTTCTCAGGGAGTACGACCAACACATGTCGTGCCCCGAGATAGACGACTACATGGCAACCTTTTTCACCATACTTTACTACGCGACCTTGGAAAACAGACTTCAGATGGTCCAAGACTATCGCGCCCAGAAATGGGGACTACATCTTTGAGCTCATGCTGCACTACCCTGCCTCACTACCTCCATCCAGCGCCCTACATCGAGCTGGAACCTGAACAGCGTGAACTACTGAGCGCAGGTCACTACTTTTGCCAACACAGTAGAATTGATGAACAACAATGGTTTTCATCACTACTGTCAATCCATGTTTTGCACTTCAGTTGAAAAGGTACTACAAAGACCTTTTAACTGAGGGGCCGTGTCAAACTGCATGCTTCACTTTGCACTTGTGTTGCACGTATGTTCACTACCGCAGGCCTTGAGCTTACTACTCCGCATGAGTAAAAAGGTTGGCAGCTGCAGACTACATCGGTTGACTGTTTGTTTGAACACTACAGCACTTGCACTTGTAAGCAAAGTGCCGACTAAATTTAACGAAGATGAGAGAGGGAGGGAGGGAGGGAGGGAGGGAGGGAGGGAGGGAGGGAGGGAGAGAGAGAGAGAGAGAGAGAGCAGACAGAAAGAAGGAAAGAAAGAAATAAAGAAAGAGGAAAGAAAGAAAGAAGGAAACAAAGAAAGAAAGAGAGGGCGAGAAAGAGAGAGACGACAAAGATAGATTGAGAGAGAGAGGGAGAATGCCGGCAAATCAGTTGAGAATGCCAAGTCTGTAGGAGTGCAGCCTGTACCTCCAAGAAAGCGCCTGCCGCAGCCATCCCAACTGCAGATTTCGCCCAATCTTTGGAGCAGGACTGCTGAAAAAGTTAGAAGATCCCGCACAAGCCACGTGTGTCCCAGTCTTGCTACCCCATTCATTTTGTGTCTGTATGTAATGTATGTACGTACGTATGTATGTATGTATGTTATGTTATGTGCGCAATGTATGTATGTAATGTATGTATGTATTTATGGATGTATGTCATGTATGTATGTATGTGGGAGTCGTTCTAAATTGCCAGTCTTATAATTATGTAAGGGAGGTTGTGAAGGTCTAGCGCGAAAGGAAAACATGGGAACGCGAAAGGACTTGACAGATACTGATACTTCCAGCAGTTCGTCTTCAAGCGGCTCAACAGAATAGACAGCTTTTGTCTAATGGCTGAAGTGGCTCGAAAACGAGCTTTTCAGGACTGGTTTGTCACCGCGAAAGGACATCACAAAGCCGCGAAAGGACCGCGAAAGGCCGGCGAAAGGGCCGTTTCCGGGAACTTTTCTTTTGAACAACCCCCATGTATGTATGTATGTATGTAATGTATTGTATGTATGTATGTATGTATGTAAGTAATGTATGTAATGTAATATGATGTAATGTAATGTAATGTAATGTAGTGTAATGTAATGAATGTAATGTATGTAATGTATGTAATGTATGTATGTATGTATGTACGTATGTATGTATGTATGTGTGTATGTATGTATGTAATGTATGTATGTAATGTATGTATGTATGTATTTTTGTGTGTATGTATGTATGTATGTATGTAATGTATGGAATGTATGTAATGTATGTAATCTATGTATGTAATGTATGTAATGTATGTATGTATGTATGTATGTACGTATGTATGTATGTAATGTATGGAATGTATGCAATGTAATGTAATGTAATGTAACGTAACGTAATGTAATGTAATGTAATGTTTGTAATGTGTAATGTATGTATGTATGTATGTATGTATGTATGTACGTTAAATATGGAATGTATGTATGTATGTATGTATGTATGTGTGTAATGTATGTATGTATGTATGTGTGTATGCATGCATGTATGTATGTATGTATGTAATGTATGTAATATATGTAATGTCTGATATGTTTGTTATGTATGTTATGTTATGTTATGTATGTATGTACGTATGTAATGTTATGTTATGTTATGTTGAGTATGTAATGTAATGTAATTTAATGCAATGTAATGTATGTATGTATTCATGTAATGTAATGTAGCGGTATGTTATGTATGTAATGTAATGTTTGGATGTATGCATGCATGCATGCATGTGTGTATGTATGTATGTATGTATTTATGTATGTATGTGTGTATGTATGTAATGTAATGTGATGTGATGTAGTGTAATGTAATGTAGTGTAGTGTAGTGTAATGTATGTATGTATGTATGTATGTATGGTAATGTAATGTAATGTAACGAAACGTAATGTAAGGTAAGGTGAGGTAAGGTATGCGTGTGTGTTTGTGTGTGTTGGGCAACATTCAGCTTGAGCAGCAAGGCATGACGTGAACTCAATGACGTTATTCTTTTGACTAGCCCACCCAGCAACTGCACATGTGGCTGAAGCGTGAGCTTGCAGGCAATTGCAGGCATGGTGAGCTTGTTGTGCAGGTGATTGTTCGGCTGAGTATGGAGTGATCCTTTGGATGCGGATTGTTGCTTTGCCCCTGCTGGCTTTTGTCAGGCAAATGTATGAGCTCCTCAGAGCCGCTTGGCAAAGAAACCGAGTGAAGCCATGTTTCGCCCCAAATCAAGAGGGGACAAACAACAGAGCGGCTGAGGTATGAGCTGCTGCCTGAGCCTGTGAACATTGTGACGCGCACATGGAGGCGCAGTGTTTTTGGCAGCTCAAAGCCTTTAGCCAGCGCCTTGCATGCTGGTGTCAAGAAGGCCAGTGAGGCAAGAACGTATTCAATCTCAGACGGCTTGATTCAATCGCCTTGCGCCACTGGCAGTTCTTCCACAAGCACAAGCACTACGAGCTCGACTAGCACGTTCACTTCCAGGCACGCAGAGCCGTCATTTGTCATAAGTCCATACGCCGACACACAAGCTAAAGTTGTCGTACACAAAGAGGCACTCGGTCAAAGGAATGGCCCGCGCGACATGTTTGCGGACATGCCCGCGGGTTCTCCATGTGTTCCAACCTTTCAGACCAAGGCTTACAACCATCACGCCTGGGAACACGCGGAGCAGCACAATGACGAGTACTCTCACCCACACCTTGGGGACGTGCGAGGACAGCGCAGCGCGGGCCCAAACGAAAGGTTGAGACATTCAGGCTTTGTAGCACAACGTTGGGAGTCATACTCGTCAGGTGTGTCATGAGAGAAATCATCACAGTTTGATTCGGACAGTTATGGACAAGTTGCGGGCATGCTGGCACAAGGCCAGAAAACCGTAATGAACAGCTTGCAGTGCATCCCTTGTGCAGGCGCGGGTTGGCCTGTTTGCCAATTGCGCGCTCTGCAGGAAGGGCTTCCACGGGGTGCTGGCATTGACGTCAGTGACTGCCTTGAGCGGGTCGCAGGTGGGCATGTTATTCAGAGATGCTAACGCGAGACTGCTGTAGCTGCTGCGCTGTATTCTTTGCTTCCGGCAGGTGAGAGCTGCCAGGTGCGCTGCACTGGCCTCTACAGTGGCGGCCCGGCAGAGTTCTTGTGTGACGGCGAGTTCATTGGTCCTGAATTCCAGTGTCAGGCTGGCTGTGGCATTGGAAGACTTAGTCTGTGCGGGAATGCAGCTTTAGCAATCTTTGCCACACACAATTTGTTGCCGTGGCAGGAGCGGACATGCAGCACACAGCAGCTGCCTTTAGGCTTCGTTACGAGTGGTTGCGAGGAGACACTTGGTGCTTACTGCAAGGGGACACTTGAGCCAAAACACAACAACACTCATGGCCAGAAGCAGATGAAAGCATCTAGGGGCAACGGCAAACGCGATCAGATGTGCTAGCTCAATATCCGAACACTTGATCAGAAGTGTCAGGAAGAAGCTCTAAAGACAATAAGGTATGTTAGACAAACGAAGTGTCAAGCTGATGTGCTGCGCAGCCAAGGACACGTCTTGGGGAGATTTGCCTCGTGACACTTGTATTAAATAGTTGACCTTGCTTTGCCAAGCCAAAAGCCGTTTCAGATTGACCTGCCTGCAGGAGATGTCCTCAAGGATTCATTCCTGGAGAGTCAGTGTGGGTGTGCGCTGCAGATGGTCAATTTTATGGTTTCGAGCCTAATTGCCAAGCTCTAGAGTGCGGATTGGACACCTTGCCAGAGGGCATTGGCTTTGACGCAAGCAGCTGCAAAGGTGTGCTGGCTGGAGAGTCGTGTCAGGTGAGTTGCAGCTACGGTTTTGAAGGCGAAGCATCCACTTTCTCGTGCCAAGAAAATGGTGCCTTGCAGGGCTTTGCCCCAATATGTTCCAAGAAGACCTGCGCCGTCCCAGAATTCCTTCAGAGCGCCCGGTTCTCCACTACTTGCGCGTCCATCCGACATGGAGAGACATGCGTGAGCACATGCAACTTTGGGTTTGAAGGCGCAACAACTCAGCTTCGCTGCGAAAACGGGGTTCTGGAAGGATCATCGCCCACATGCACAGGCTTGGCCTGCTCATTGCAGGGTTTGGTGATAGAAACTGGAATGGATATCAGCAATTGCTCGGGCACGCGATCTTTGGAAAGTTGCATGCTAGGGTGCTTTCGCGGGTACACACTCGCAGGAGATCCTCATATGACGTGTCAACCCAGTGGCCAGTTCTTGCAGGAAGCCTTCACATGCATCCCGGACTCCTGCGGCGACCTCTCGCAAGTCGCCAGCTTCGCTCCGCCCTCGGTGGGAACTTCCTGTGACAGCCTGGTTTTCGGAGAGACTTGCTCCGCCTTCTGCGAACTGGGCTGGGAGCTGGTGGGCAACACCAGTGTGATGGTCTGCGAGGGCAGTGCTGTACTGGGCGGCAGCGGCTTTGCCCAGTACCTCAATGGCAGCTTCGTTCCGGCAAACGAAACTCAGGGCCCCAGCTGCCAAGCCCAGGTTTGCTCCCAGGGCCTTCCAAGTCTCAAGGGAGTCATTCATGACTGCGCAGGCAAGACCACTGGACAGAGCTGCACAGTCAGTGCAGCGCACGGTTATGAGGCAGAGCCGACAATATTGACATGTGGGCCTGAGGGCAGCTTTGAAGGAGCGATGCCACTTATTCGGCCAGCAGCCTGTCCAAATGCAGAATTCCCACCTGGAATTGGAACCACCTGCAATGGCACTCAAGTGGGGGCTGAATGCTGGGCCTATTGTGAGGCTGGATGGTTCGGAGCTTCCCGCCGCTATGAATGTGGCTTGAATACCACCTTGCAGGTGGGGGATGTTGAGGTCATTAGCTGTAGCAACACATCAGCCGGCTCTCGGCGTTTGGCAGAGGAGACTTGTTTTGAAGCTAGCATTGCGGCGATCGGGTGTCTTGGCAGCAAGCTTGCGCTGTTCCACAAATATAGCCTTTGTAGCCTAGCCAAAATCCACTATTGTAATAGCAACTTATGCCCAGCCCGAAAACTTCAATCTTGAAGCCTAGGCTATCCGATCCACGTTTTACGCACTCATGCACTGCCCTCGCTCATGGGGAGCTTTGCGCTGCCCACTGCAGCGCAGGCGGGCAGTGAACCCTCAGCTCTCAACCCAAAGGGCGGGGCGATTTGGGCATCATTGGCATCCATTCTGCTGATGTTAGATGATTCCCACTGCGAGCGACCTTTCGTGAATTTTGGGTTCCCATGTCACATATGTGTTTATCTCTTTGTGAACCCTATGTGGGTGGTTGTGATTTAGTTGGGCAATGTTGCCTGCTCGCAAATGGGCATGGTTGGGGACGGTACAGTACTGCACTGTGTTGGCAAAACATCGGTGATTTGCGGAGCTCTCAAACATCACAACACCTTCATACATAGCACAGGCTCCGGCGCAAAGCAATTCTCAGACTCTGTCACGTGTTCAACAAACGAGAGGCTTCAGCGAGAGGTCATTTGACACACACAGCAAAATGCAAGACACAAAGACATCCTAATGGTTGTCTAGATTGGAACATCATGATGAAGATCTTCACAGTGCTTATCAGGTTCAGTGTCCACAAGTCTTCTCAATCTTAGAGCCCGACCTAGCATCGCGACAAGCGAGAGAGGAGCGAGAGTGAGCTGCAAGGCTACGCTATGTTGGAAAGCGAGCCTCAACTTCTGGTATGCGAAGACGGACAGATCATTGGAGGACCGCATGCTATGTATGTCTGTATGTCCGTTTGTCCGTCTGTCGGTCTGCCTGCCTGCCTGCCGCCTTCCAGTCTGTCTGCCGGCCTGCCTGCCTGTCTGTCTGTCTGCCTGTCTGCTCGTTTGCTTGTGTGAACGCCCCCCTGGGGCTGGCAAGAGTTTGACCGCACCCGGCTGATATCTGTCAGGTCTTCCTAGCTGCAATCCACAGCCCTGCGGCTTTGGTTTTCCCAGCGGCTTGGGAGTGAGCCACAACTGCAGCGCCGTGCCAACAGAGCAGACTTGCACGGCAACTTGCGAAGAGGACCGGACCGTGTGCAAGCGGAAAGATCCCTGGAGGCGTCTGAAGAGACCTTTTGCACATACCCATGGATTGCAGTGATTGTGTGTTTACAGGGTCGCTCGCACTAGCGTTGTTTGCGGTGACTCATGACATCAGCGGCTCTAACTTTGAAGCAGGTGCAATCGATCCAGTCGCATTGAAAGACCTTTTTTGGTTAGCGCGGGCGTTCTTGTAATGCAAGAGTTTGCAGACACTTCTGATGTAAGATGTCTTGCCTCGGGTTTGTGGGGGCCGT